GTGGTGCCAGGCATCTGAACCGCATCCCTGTGCCTGCTTAAGCGTGCCTAAGCAGGCGCTTCAGACTGCTGGACGCTCTAGCCGACCCTTTACGGTAGTTACTGGAAAGTCTTTGTCAGGTAGGTGTTAGCTGGTTATCGTTTTCTTCAGTGGAGGTTTTCCATTATTTCCTGATCACATGGCTTTTCTGTTAGGAGATGCTGGGCGCTTGAGCCTGGGCCCCGTGTGGGCTGTGGTCTGCGTTGTGTGTGCCTGTTGTTTTCTTTTGGCGGAACCGGGGATTGAACTCAGGCCCTTGCGCTTGCCCAGGAAGGGCTTATTCCACTGAGCCCTCTCCCCGGCCCCTGCACCTGGTTCCTGCTGGTGGGCTCTGTCCCCGGACACAGCTTATGGGCAGCACGGTCCCTGTGGCTAGCCCTGCCGGCCGCTCAGCTGTGTTTGTCGCGTGGGGGCGGAGCCCCAAGCCCGACAGGGAGGAGTGCCTCGTGTCTCTGGGGTGGCCCGCTCACCTGGTGACTCGCTTGCAGTGGGGCAGCCACAGCCCGGTGGGGAACAGCAGTGTAGGAACAACAGCTGGCTCTGTTGTGGGTCCCGGGATTCTTGGTGTTGGCAGTCGGGCCTCCTGTTGGTGCCCTCCCTCACGGGGGTGGGGGGTGGGGCAGGGGAGGGGAGGGCAGGGGGCTTTCCTTGCTCCACCGGGACTCCACAGGCTCTGGCTGGCCTGCCCACGCCCCAGCATTCTCCTTCCTGTGTCCTTAAGCTATTCAGGGCTTGTAGCTGCGCCTGCAGGCAGAGAGGAGGATGGAGTCTGCCGACCTGGTCTGACCAGAGACTCCTGGCGCTTTAGAAAGGGCCTTTGTCTGTGGCCGGCATCAGCACTACTGTGGTGCTCGCCGCGGCTTTCTTTTCTTAGGCCTGCAGGCATTTTGAAGTGCTTCTTGAAGCTGTGATTTGTGAATTTTGCACAAATTGGAAGCTTCTCATCCACATCTACTTAATAAATACTCTTCTGCCCACGTTGGTCTCTTTTCTCTCTGGGCTTTCAGTTCCGTTTTCCTGACACCTGATGCCTGTCCTTTCCCTTCTCTGCACGTTCCCTTCCTGGGTCTCGCGCTCTTCCTCCGGCATGCTCCAAACTCTTTTCTGTCTCCCCTGGGTGTGAGCCACTGCGCGGGCTGCAGAGGTGGCTGCGTGGCTGAGCATGCGCGAGGCCCTGGGTTCAAACTCAGAACCTCCAGAAACACCTGTGGTATAAATTTACCTTTGGTGACTGTTCTTTTCTGTTCCAGAGTTTCTATTTTGTCCCTTAATGTCAAGAGCTTTTCATTTTCTTTTTTTAAAATAGCTTCTCCAGGGCTGGGATAGCTCAGCAGCATAAGTGCCTGCCTGGCATGTGCAAGGTACTGAGTTCGATCCCTGGTACCAAAATAATAAGAATAACAATAAGAAGAATAACAATAAGAAGAATAACAAGAAGAAGAAGAAGAAGAAGAAGAAGAAGAAGAAGAAGAAGAAGAAGAAGAAGAAGAACAACAACAACAACAACAACAACAACAACAACAACAACAACTGGAATAGCTTTCCTTTTCTGCCAGCGTTCTTGCCTGTTTTCTGTCACATTTGACACCATGTCCTTTAGCATCTGTGGCTGTGATTGCTCAGGCTGAGGTCCGTGAGTCTGCTTTTCCTCTGGGCTTTTCAGTCTGGTGGCTGTGGGCACCATCCCTCCTCACGCTCACCCTTGGGGGCTTGCTGCGCTTCCTGGCCCCTGAGCTGGGCTCTGAGCCGTGTGTACCTGGGCATTTCTCTGCCTCATTCCTCCCCTGGCACACACAGGAGGCCTCGGTGTCTCGTGCACCTCCCGGGACGACTGGCTGCGGCTTTATGCCTCCCTCGCTCCCCCTGCAGTCTCTGTTCTGTTGAGTCTGTCAGTGAGTTTTGTGTTGGTTTTGTCTTTTTCAGTTCAAGAATTTTTTTATTTTTTATGTATTTAGTATAGGGCCTACAGGGCCTCTCCGTAGATTGGCTCATAGTGATTCTCCTGTTTTCAGCCCCCCAAGCGCTAGGATTGCAGGCACACACCGCCACGCCCAGTCTCAATCCCATCTCAGCACACCTCAGAGACGGGGACAGGGACCCAACCCCAGCTGCTGCGTCAGTTCAGGAATTGTGATTAATGTCTTTCAGTTTTCTTTCTGTGTTGAGCTCTTGTGTTTCATCACCTGCCTCTTTCTAGGTATTTGCATGCTCTGCTGCTTTATGCCAGTTTACTTTCTGACCTGCTGCCGTCACTGACGTGAAACGAGCGTCTCTTTCCTCAGTAGCATGCCTGCAGCTGGTGGAGCCGGCTGCCTTAGCGCGGCGGCAGCCCAGCGCCTGGGTCCTCGCGGGCTTGGCCTGCTCCATTGACTTCCCCCGACTGTGGGCCATGTTTTCCTGGTTCTTTGTGTCAAGTGGCTGCGGATGGCGTCCTGGATATTTGTGTTCGGAAGCTTTTGGGAGTAATCTGAGAGGCCTGAGTGCAGATAGGCCTTTCTGCAGTGGGACTGACCCTTGTTCCAGTAGGTGCTGGGAGCCAGTGGCCCGTCCTGCGCTTGCCTCAGCTGCAGGCTCCGTGGCCTCTGGAGAGCCAGTCTGTGTCACCTGTTTCCTGCCACTACCCAGAGCATGGGGGAGGCCACTGGGCAGGCCGTGGGACCCTTTCTTTGTCATTAGGCACTGGCAAAAGGCTTGAAAACAGTTGCACTTCTTTCCCTCCCCTTCAGATCTGGATTTGCCTCCCAGGAGAGAAGGCTGACACCTAGGTAGAGCGGCGGCCAGGGGCACCTTCCTCCGGCTGGCTGGCGAGTGCCATGTCCTATGCCAGCGGAGCCTCAGTGCAGCATCTGTGTGCACCGCCCTCCTGTCTGTGGCAGAGACCCTTGAACGAGGGGCCCTCTGCCCTCCCCTCGCTCTGGGAGACTTCCTGTCTTCTGGGCCTCGCTCTCGCTTCGGCTGTCGGGCCAGGGTTCTCAGGTGTCTTGTTCTCTTTCTGTGTGCTGGCATTGGATACCTTGGCCAACTCGTGTGGCGGTGCTTCCTTGGGGCTGCCAGTGGTGCCCTTTCAGGGAGCCCCCGGGCACAGGGATCTTGGTGTGCATTTGGACTCCCCTGGCCCCTTTGTTTCCTTATAACCGGGGAGGTATCTTTCTCTGCTGGGCCTGGCCTTTTTTTAGGGGGTATGAGGAATTAAACTCAGGACCTTGCACTTGCCAGGCAGGCCCTGTGCTGCTGAGCTATCTCCCTGGCTTGGGCCTGGCTGTTTAGAAGAGCTGTGCTGTGCCTGCTGGGCTGGGGATGGGCATGGGGGATGGGCAGCAGCTCAGTAGTAGACTCTGAGTCCCTCCTTTTGGCTCCCCTGTCCTGCTCCGTGTCTGGGCTCCTGGCCCGAGCTCCAGGGTAAAGTCAGGGCAGCCTAGGGCAGGCGGGACGGCTATGCTGGCTCCCGCCTGTCTTTCTGTTCTCAGGCACTGGGTGCCTTCTGCTGTGGTCTTTGGGTTCCCTGCGCACTGGGCTGCTTTTCTGCCCCCTCCAGTGCCTGTCCTCTCTTCAGAGCACATTGCAGTAATCCTCTAAAGTCTTGGTTGGACAATTCCGACATTCGGTTCATGTCTGTCAATTGCTTTTCTCTTGAGTTACAGGTTTTCTTGTGTTTGCTTTTCTCGTTTGCTGAGGGATTTGGAGAATATCCACCCACTTCTTTTTTTGGTACTGGGAATCGAACTCAGGACTTCACTCTTGCCAGGCAGGTACGTGTGCCACTGAGCTATCTCCCCTGCACTGTTGAGGGATTTGGGAGGTACAGAGAGGTGCAGTGGCCACTTGGCTCAGCACATTTTGCAGCTCTGTGGGACCTGTTAGGAACTGGGATGCTGGTGTTCTGTTTCGCCACTGTCCCCCAGCCCCAGGAGTCGCAGGGCACTGCTGGCGGGTCTTCCCAGCCAGGCCCTCCTGGCGGGCACCAGGTGAGATGCAGGCTGTGGGCTGCCTGTGCCCTCACGGCTATCACCGTGGCTACCGCAGGTTTCATGTCATGCATGGGCAGAGGTCCCCTCACCCCTCCTTGGGATGCCTTCCTGGCCCAGCTCGAAGCCGAAGTTTGCACTTTCACGCCTGTGCCTGTGCAGCACGGAGGCGCCTCACCAGGTGCCTCGCTTCTGCCACTGGGGCACGGGGTTGTGGCTCCCCATGGTACCTGTCGGTGCGTGGGTGTGGCCCTGCTGTGGCCGGGCCAACTTTTCACTTTTACTTTTATTGTTGTCATGGTTCTGTGACTCAGACTCGGGCCTGGGCATCCAAGCAAATGGCCCCCACGGGCTGCAGCCCCAGCTTCTGGTCCGGGGCCTGCAGGCACATGCCACGGGCCTGGCTTGGGGGCAGCTTGGCTTTTTTTCCGTTGGGGTACAGTAGTGGTGGTCTGGAGTCAAAGGATCTCCAGCCGCTGCCTCTTGGAGGCCCCTTCTGCTTGCCTTCTCCTGCCTGAGCATCACTGTACCATTGTGTTCCAGGGCTGATGGCACCAAGCCCGCTCCCCTGGCACAAGAGCCGTGGGGCTCTGCGCGCGGCTGGCACTTGCTGGGAGGAGCTGGGGCTAGTGTGGGCACGTCCACCGCAGCCCTGCTCAGGCGCAGGGTGGCTGAGGGCAGCTGCTGCCTTGAGTGTGTAAGAGAGACACCAGGGATGAGGAGGATGCTGAGACCCGCTGCGTGGTCACCGTGCTGTGCTGCATCCGCTCCAGGGGCCCAGTGTGGGCGAGTGGTCTGGTCCTCACACAGCCCGGCAGGTGGAGGCCTCTCGTGTCCCAAGCTCCCCGGTGGGGTTTAAGGTTTGGAGGCCAGGCAAGAGCACAGCGGGAACTGGGTCCACTGTTGGCTGCAGTCCCCACATTGGCTCCAGGCTTGTCCGCACCCTTGCCCCCTTCAGAGCACCTTTCCCGCTCCGGCAGGTTGTGCCCCGGCGAAATGCAGCCAGCAGAGCAGAGCAAGAGCTTCCGGAGAGGTGTGGCCAGTGCCCTTGTGCTGTGTCCCGTCCCCGGGGCCTGCGATGGCTGCACCTCCTGGCCCGGGACTCTCCCACTGCTCGGCCCAGGTGGCGTTTGGCCCTCAGCCCGTAGTCTGTCTCTTCAGTGTTGCTGGGTGGCCCCTCTGAGAGGTGGCCTGCCTCCCTCTGAGCTGTGCAGCGCCGTGGTCGTGCCCAGCCACTGTAGTTCCTCTCTTTGGCCTCTCTCCTGGGCCCACCTGACACGGTCTGCTCTGCAGGCCTCCTCTGCCCTCCGACTGGGAGACAGCCTCCGGGGTATTGTCTTATTTATCTGTTTTCTTTCTTTCTCTCCCCCCTCCCCCAGTACCAGGGATTGAACTCAGGACCTTGTGCTTGCCAGGCAAACACTGTCCTTCCTCCGTGGGTACTGTGTTCATATATGGTAGGTGCCAAGTGCCACCCCTTTGGCCTGTGCCTCTGATTCCTGATGATGGCATTCCTCTGATGCCTGCCCCGGCTGAGCTCCTGCCCGTGGCAGCTCCTTCCCTGTCAGCTCCCGGCTGCTGGCTCCTACCGTGTCTCGGCCAGCAGGGCGTCTTTCCATGTAGTTAGTGCTCACACTTCTCTGGCTGAGAGACGGACGCTTCTGCTTCCTTCCCAGGCCCCTCGCTCTCCTCAGCCCAGAACCGCCACCCGCGTCCAGACCTGCCCTCCACTCTGAGCAAGAACAGCAGCAGATAGTGTGATTTCTTTTTTTCTCTTTTTTTTTGTGGTACCAGGGATTGAACTTGGGACTTTGTGCTTGCCAGGTGGGTGCTTACGCTGCTGAGCTATCTCCCTGGCCCCAAAGCAGCACACAGAGTTTTCCTGCCCTCCAACTTCTGCTCCTGAGCAGCCTGGCCTGTCTGTCCTCACCACATGCGTGCAGAGCACCTGACCCTGATCACCCAGACAGCTCTGCAGCGAGGGCGGTGGGTGCTCGGCTGAGGACTTGCTAAAGGAACGGGGAGACACTGAGTTTGTCCCTCCTGTGTGGATATGCGGAGTCACGCTTAGGTTGCTAGGCCACCCCTGGCCTGTGTCTGTGTGGTGCCCCCACACCCTGTGGGTGGGGTGTGTTGGCGTCTTTGTCCTTGTTGGAGCCTGGGCCTGAGTGCTGCGGCTCTTAGACCTCACCTCTCTGTTATCTTCCTACTCTTCCTGGCTTACCCAGGTGCTCAGTAGTCGTTGAACAATTCTGCTTCATTGGGTTTTAGAAGAAATGGAAAGTAAGTCACCAGAAAGATACTCCAGGCGTTTACAGAGCTGACTTAAAAATAGCTGTTGACTGATAAATTGGAAACATCAGGTTCTTGGTGCCTGCGCTCCACATCTGAGGGCCTGGTGGATGTGAGGGGTGTGGCTGGCCCATCCCCGAGCAAGCTGGCTTCTGTGGCTGAGGCGGAGGGAGTGTGCGGAGGACCTTGGGTGCAGAGCTCTCCTGGGCCTGTACCCTGGATCTCGGAGCTCCTGTGGTGAATCGGAAGCATGGGTGGCTTCCCTGACTCATGTGCACGCAGGATTCAGAGTTGAAATGACCCAGGGAAGCATTTCTTTTTTTTTTTTTTTAAAGTTTATTTATTCATTTTGTGTGTGTGTGGCCAGCTCAGCCCACCAGGGGGCGGGGCTGGCTGGCATGTGGTGGTGGGGGATTGAACCGCGGTCCCTGTTCTTAGCTTAGCTTGTTCTCAGTGGGTGCTTTAGACCACTGAGCCATCTCACCAGCCCAGGGAAGCATTTCTGCTGGACGGATGGTGGGTTTAAGAGGCCCTGCCAGGTCAAGCCTTCCCTCCTGTCAGCTCCAGCACTCACGCTGGGTGTCTCTTCACCCTGTGGCCTCCGGCTGTAGCAGCTGCTCTGGGGCCTCCTCACTTCCATTGAAGGCCAGCTTTGCTGAGCCTGTGTCCCCGTCCTGTCCTGTGTCTCAACCCCCACCGCCAGCACCCAGAGAGGCAGGACCCTGTGCAGTCTTAAGGAGCTCTCCTAGGGTGGAGCCTTCCCAGTTGTCCCTGCAAGAGTGGAGAGTGACCTGGGCCAGCCAGTGGGGCTTGGTGTCCTGGATGTCACGTGGACTTGTCACATGGCAAGATCACGGGTGGCTCCTGGAAGGGCCAGGGCCAGGGCCAGAGTGTGCACTTGGTGATTGCTGCACATCTGGAGCCTTCCAAGTCATTAGGTGGAATGGGGTCCCCTGGGGTGGGAAGTAGGATGTGTCCCTTGCTGTCTTTGGAAAAGAGCGACCCAGGCAGCGGTGTTGCCAAAGGAGAGTGGAGGAAGGCGGTGGTTGCTGTGACCTGGAGCCACTGGGCTGCTGCTGCAAGCACATCCTCTTCGTGGTGGCCACGAGAGCTTCTTAGGCCTTGGCTGGGTCACGGGACTCTTGGCCCCATGCCCGTCCCTGACTTCCACCTGTTTAGTCGGACTCGCTCTGTGTGGTGCCGTCTGTCTCTGGCTACTGTGGCTCCCGCATGTGAGGTGGCTCCTGCCCTCATGTCATTGCAGAAGGCAGAGGCCTGAGCTTATGCTGCTCGCTGAGCTGCTGCCTTCTGCTGTTGCTTTGGTCCCATTCAAAACTGCGGTAATTTCAGGGTAGGCAGCTACCCCGTGTGCTCAGGACTGTGGGGTTCAGCCTAGTGACACCATCGAGCCTGGGAAGGCTGCGGCTCCTGCAGGGTTGCCATGGTGACCAGATGAGAGGTGCAGCACGGTGATTCAGAACCACAGCATGTGTGGACGCTGGCCTCGCTGTTCAGAAAGGAACCCAAGGAGGTGTGAGGAATGCGGGGCAGGGGCGGGTCCACACACCCACAGTTAGATTCAGGCTCAAAAAATAGCACTGGGAGGAGGAAAGGAGCAGAGAGGGTGTGCTGCTGAGGGGCTGAAGTGCCGCTGCTCTGCTCAGTGGCCACGCACCCTGGACCTGGTAGGTGCTGGAGGATGTGGGTGTCCAGGTGGCGTAAACAGCGCCAGTGTCCCTGGCTGCTTCTGGGCTGGTTGTATGTGGGCTTTCCTCAGCCCCCTTCCCGGAGGTGGTGACTTTCTAGACACATCTGGAGGTTTGGGCAGTTCCAGAAGGCACTGGGGTGCTACAGTCCCGGCAGAGCGTGTGGCCAGCTGGGTGCTGGGTAGGAGCTTCCTGCAGGACTTGTCTTGCAGATTCCTGTGAAGGGCACAGTGGGGAGGCTCAAGGGGCTGGAGCGATGTAGTGCACTTGCCTGCACGTCTGGGTGGTGCTGTGTGTGCGTGTGTACATGCCTGGAGTGTCAGGCAGCGCAAGAGCAGGTTGTGTGGATGCAGTTGGGCTCTTCTCAAGCCTTAAGCATGGCTCCTGCCTCCCTGCCTGTGACATGGGGAACTCTTCCTCATCCCGACTGGATGAAGGGAATGGGTTTTGTGTAGAGGTGACTGCTGCTTGGCCAGAGCAGAAGGAAAGGCGATGGCTGCTGTCCTGCTGCCCCTGAGGTTGCAGCGGCACCAGCCGGGCTGCTGCTGTGGTAAAGACTGGCTGTTTGGTCCAGCTGTGCCCTCCATCCTGAGGCTAGAAGGCCATGCCGATGCCTCCTCAGGGCGTGAGGTGGTGACGACTGCACCCCATTTTCTCTGCCCCCCGTCACCAAGTCTGGGTCTTTGGGCGAGCTGCAGTTGTGAGTATGACACACTGGCGTCTGTCGCTGCAGTGTCCCAGATCTTCACACCTGGCAGTGGTCCAGTTTGTGGGTCGCAGCTTTGCCAGGGCTGCCGAGAGGCTGCCCTTGTCTGTCCTGGGCCCGGACGTCCGTGTGCCTGTGCTTCGCTCACAGGTGCTCTCTCCTGTCCTAGACAACATCCCTGAAGATCTCCGAGACCCCTTCTACACTGACCAGTATGAGCAGGAGCACATCAAGCCGCCCGTCATCAAGCTGCTCCTCTCCAGTGAGCTCTACTGCCGCGTCTGCAGCCTCATCCTCAAAGGGGACCAGGCAGCTGCCTTACAGGGACACCAGTCGGTCATCCAGGCCCTGTCCCAGAAGGGCATCTACGTGATGGAGAGTGATGACACCCCAGTGACTGACACTGACCTTGGCCAGGCCCCCATAAAGATGGTGAGTGTCCGGCGAGGCAGCATGCTCCTGCCTCAGCACATGACCCTTGCAGACTTCAAGCAGGAGCTGCTTCTGTTGCGCTCTTTCTCTGTGAATGCTGTAATGCCGAGGTCGTGGCTCGGCACTGGATGGTTACGTGCCACATCAGCCCCTGTGGTTCTGTGACTCAGTGATCGAGCCCATTGTGTGGGAAGGCTGCAAGTGTAAATGTGGGCATTTTCCCGCCTGAATCTGTTGGCCCTTCCCTCCGTGTCTAAAGCCTGGCTGCTCCTGCTGCTGCATGTCCTGCTCAAGGCTCTGAGCAGCAGTGCTCTTCACAGGCTCTTGTGCTCAGTGGTTTGAGGGTAGAGGGTGTGGTGAAGTCCCTTGCTTAGAAGAGAGGGCCCGAGGGCAGCTCTCCTGTGGAGGTGTCCCTGCTCCCAGGGGTGTGGCTGGGCTGCTGGAGTGGGGAGGTGAGGGAGCCAAGTTCCACTCCATGCTGGCCCTGTGGCTCTGCATCCTGCGCTTCCGGCCCTTCTTGAGGCCGAGGAAGCGAGGGGATGTGTGGGGCAGCGAGAGAGGAGCAAGTCTGGGTGGGACCCTTTCCCTGGGGCCCCCTGGGTAGAGGAGCTGTGCGGTGCCAGTTGTGTCCCTGCCCCCAGAGTGCCCACATGGCCATGGTGGACGCCCTGATGATGGCCTACACGGTGGAAATGATCAGCATCGAGAAGGTGGTGGCCAGCGTTAAGCGCTTCTCCACGTTCAGCGCCTCGAAAGAGCTGCCCTATGACCTCGAGGATGCCATGGTGTTCTGGATCAACAAGGTGGGTGCCCCTGGCCCCCAGCAGTGTGCTCCTTGTCCCTCGCTCTGGACCTGCTGCTTGGTCCTGGGCCCACAGTGGGAAAGCCGTACACATCCTGGGTGTCCAGAGCGAGTCGAGGGCTGGGTGATAGCTTGGCAGCAGAATCACCCGAGTTTGGTCCCTGGTATCTCATGCTGTGCCAGCCCCAGAACCCTGGGTGTGCTGGGTGTGGTGGTGCATGCCTATAATCCCAGAGCGGGGGCAGCTGAGACCAGAGAATCGCTATGAGTCCAAGCTGCGCAGTGAGACCCTGTATCAACAACAACGAAGAAGTGTGGGGCAAGAGGAAGTAGACTTGAGTTGCAGTGCAGACATGATGACAGCAAACAGCGAATTTTTCTTCTTCAGCCCCCGTGTGCAGTAGGTGCATTCCCTTTTAGAAGAATTTTCCTAAACACCACTTTCTCCTTTTACACGTGGAAGCGTAGTGTAGTCTGCACAGTGCGCCAGTGTATGCCATGTAATTATTTGGGAGCAAAGCTTAACACAGCTCTTGGGTAATGAGCACCCTTGTCTGCAAAACTGTGTTCAAAATGAGCGTTGGGCTTCGGAGACAAGAGCATGAGGCCCCAGGTAAAGCTTTCTCAGCGAGCTTGAGAAAGACGCGTGCCCCCTGGGGACATTGTGCAGGCAAGTGCCAGTCAGGCCCATGGCTCCCGCAGCCCCTGCTGTGATGGGGGTGTCTGTCTGTCGAGGGAAGGCTTGGACCTGGACTTCCACTCAGACGCTGGTCTGCTCTTGAAGTAGAGGGTTTGAGGAATGGACACCATTCACCCCTGAGAGCCTACAAAGGCGGAAAACCTGGCTAGGCCTCAGCAGAGAGCTCTGGGTCCCGGGCAGACCTGGGTGCCGCCGGGTGTGCGCACCTGAAGGGGTTTGGCTTAAAAATGGCTCTTTTGAGCCTGGCATAGCGGGACACATTTGTGATCCCAACACTGGGAGGTTGAGGCAGGAGGACTGCAAGTTTGAGCCCAGCTTGGGCAGCTTACCCTCAAAATAAAAAATTCAGGAAGTGGGGCTGGAGATGCAGCTCAGCGCGAGGCCTCAGGTACACGCCCCTGCTGGCCTCAGGACTGAGACACGTTTTCACGGACACTCTGAGCGACCCTGAGCGGGCTTTCTGCGTCCCTGGCAGGAGCGTCCTGGGGCAGAACATGGACTTCAGCACTCTGTCACGGCTCCTGGTAGTTCCCCCTGTTACAAGAGAAATAGTGTGGTGACGATAGAGAACTTAGCCACTGCGTATGAGTGACAAGACGGTGTATAAACTGCCTGCCGCTTGGTGTCTGTAAAGGCAGGTGGCGTTTGCTGCCCCTGCAGCGAATTTGCCTGCGTGTAGCACGCAGGCGAGGTACACAGCTGGAGCTCACCGAGGAGGCGCGGCCTGCAGAAGCCAGGCTGGCCGGCGAGGTGCTGGGAGTGCCTGCCCGGAACCGCAGCTTGCTTCTGCCGTGACTTCCGCCTGGGGAGCAGCGGAGATGGCTGAGCGGAGGAAGTGCCACTTGGCAGGGGCAAGGTCCTGAGCTCAGTCCCTGGCACCACAGGAAAAAAGAAAAAGAAAGAAAATAGTTGATTTTTGCCGATTGTTTGCTTGTGTTTTACCGGGTCTGGCCGTGAAGGTGGTGCCGTTCTTCTCACCTTACAGTGTGTGCATATCTTTTCTGTGTTTTCCCAGCAACTGGATATTGTTTAAAAACACTTGCAAAAACAACCAAACCACTTGCCAGTTTGAAGGTGAGCAGCTTCGTCACCGACGAGGTTGAAGTCGGGCTGTCTCAGCCCTTCCTCACCGTCTTACTGTGGCTCAGGGCGGGAGGTGCCTTCGTTTCCTCTTTGGTCGGGTTGCTTATGTGTTTCCAGATCACTATCCTAGGCCATTGGTGACAAACCTACGGCACTCGTGTTATATTTCTTTTAAGACACAATATGTTAACGACAGGTGACGTGCTTCAGCATCGGGGTTTAATGGCAGCGTTGGTGCTCTGAGGGCGCCGTCGGCTGTCCTTTCTGAAGGGCTGCTCATCACTGGCCCGGGTTCCCGCCCGGGAGCCCGTGCCTGCCGCGTGTGCAGGTGGTCTCCACTTTCCTCATGTGTTGATTCTGGCTTCTTCCTCCTTCTATAGTGTTTAATTGTCTATGTGGCCCAGGTTGGCTCCTGGCGTTAAGTGGCCATAACCTTCCTGTGTCATCTACCCAAGTGGCCGGGACCACAGAGGTGCACAATATTTTAAACACATTGTGCTTCTGGGTGCATGTTCAGGTATTTTACCCAGATTTTCGTAAGGTTTTCTTGACGTTGCCAAGTCGTATGTGGATATTGGGAATGAAGAGTGCAAGGTCTGTGTGGGGAGCATCTTCCCCATCTCGTCTGCTTTCTGGTTTCGTAGTAGAAGTCGTGCTGCTGAGATTCTGCGTCCTGGCTCTGGCATCCCCATCTGAGAAGTCTCTGCCTGCCCAGGCAGGGCAGGACAGGCCTCTGCCTCCTTGCAGCAGCGTGTGGCTCCGTGCAGGGGCAGGCGTGGCGCGTGCACCTCTGTGCACAGGGCAGCGATTGCCCCATCCTGACCCTAGACATTTTGGGGGCAGGTTTGTTGAGCATTTGTTGAGCCACTTCTGTGTGTCCTCTCAGGGATGTTTGTCCTTTGATTGGTGTAACTAGTCTCCTGCCATTGTCAGGTAAACTGGCTTATGCGAACTATAACCTGGTAATACTAATCTGGATGAACTGCAACCCTTTTTGCTAAGAAGCTATTACTTAGCTACTACATCTTATTGGCTGTAGCAAGCCAAGTATCATACCACTTTAGACTTTTTAGTGGCATGGGAAGCACAAACTGCACTTGGGAGAAGCGGAGAGGTCCAGCCAGCTCAGAGGAGGTAAAACTCCAAATTCTGAGCCATGGGGACAGATTACAGAGCTTTTTAAGAGTCTGTGGCAGGAAAAGAGATGCAGGTGAAGCTGCAGAACAAAGGCACTTACTCAAATTAACAGGCCAGTGGGGAATCAGGTGACAGGCGGAGGAAGGCGCCTTGAGGCGCAGGAGCTGTTGTAATCCAAGGCTAAAATCATGGTCAGAGCCCATCATCATCTGGTGGGCGGGGTGGGGGTGTCCCCAGATGGGTTATTTTCCTGTCTCGTTATCTACATGACCACATGAATTTTAATTTTGTTTTTTGAGACAGGGTCTTGCTGTGCAGTCCAGGCTGGCCTTGAGCTCACAGCGACCCTGCCTCAGCCTCCTGAGTGCTGGGATTACAGGTGTGCACTACCACCGGCCTGGTACTGCGGTTTCTAGAGTCTGTTTGTGCGGTACATAATGGTGGCCATCATCGTGGGGACTTGGTGCTGCACAGATTACACCTTTGTTCTTTTCCTCCCCTCCCCTACACTCTGCTGAACTGGAGGCTGAGGCAGGAGGATCATTGTGAGTTCGAGGCCCCCCTGGGCTACACAGTGAGATGAAGGCCAGCCTGAACTGCATAGCAAGACTGTGTCTCAAACAACCAAGAACTGAAACCAGTTAGAGCTGCTAACCTCTCTCCCCTGCTTTCGCTGTTTCACACCTGCACCCTCATCGCCACGCCAGGGACTAGCCCAGGGCCTTGCGGGAAGCTCTGGACCGCCGAGCCGTGCCCCGGCCTGCGCATCGTTGTGGGCTGTGTGCTGCATTCGCACCCCAAGGTGTCCTCGGCTGTGTGCTGCATTCGCACCCCAAGGTGTCCTCGGCTGCTCCTGTAGGCTCTTGTGTGTCACTGGGTCGTCTGGAACGCTTCCGTTGGAGGTTTACTTTTTGAGGCAAGGTCTCTGAACTCCTGTCTAGCTTCCCAGGTAGCACTGTACGCTTGCCATTGCGCCCGGGGGTGCTTGTCTAATTTTGAATATTTGGAAGAAAGTTCCAGATGCCTCTAGGTGTTTCGTTTCTAGTTGATTCTGTGGCTAGAAAAGGTGCGCCGTGTGTGTGTGAGACTCACACTGTGTCTCTGACCGTCAGTCCTAGTGGCCGTGGGTGGCGGCTGTGGTCACCACAGCCTCGCAGTCCTCCACCTCCTGTCCCTGTCAGCCAGGTGCTCTGAGGAGGAGAGACACTGGGGTCAGCAGCTTTGGCTGTGTTCGCTTCGTGGCTCCATTCTGTTGGGTTTGCTTATCTGGGGTTCGGAGTAGTCTTCGGGGGCTCTGCTGCTCCGGCGAGCTTCCCCTTAGTCACCAGTGATTCTCCCGCCCTAGAAATCTTGCGAGCGGCTTCTGTAGGGCTTTCTAATGAAGACACGTTCCTTCCTTTTCAACTGTTACTTTTAGCCTCTCGTCTGTCCATGTAAAATGAGTTGCCTGTGTTGAGAGCGCTTGGCCTGTGACATGCCAGGTTATACCCAGTCTGCTTTCCGCCCGCATCTCGTGGCTCTCCTCTGCGCCCACTCACTGGGGCTGAGTGTCTTTAGAACCCTGTTCCGTCGCTCACTGGCAGGGCTGCAGCTCGGGCCGTCTGGGCCTCCTGGGCCTGGTCGCGCTGCACCCTGCATCTCCCTGGTTCTGGCAGCTGTCACCTTTCATTTGGTTTTATTATTTTAGCTTTTAGCTATTATCTTTTAAGGTAGTTAAAAATCAAGAATAGAAGTCTTTAGGATTTTCCTCTTTTTTTTATGCTTGATACAGGGTTTCTGTATGTCGTTTAGGGTAGCCTTGAACTTACTCTGTAGCCCAGGCTGGTCTCAGACTTGCAGTGATCCCCCTGCCTCAGCCTCATGAGCGCTAGGATTAGCCTCATGGCCAGCCTTAGCTTTTTTTTTTAATATTTATATTTTTTATTTATTTTTTATGAGCAGAGTATATTTATTGAGGGAAAGAAAGCTCCTGTCTAAGAGAGGGACAGGAATAGGCCCAAGCGGGTTGTTCCTGGCTTTTTAAAAATAGCTCAAAATACTTAATTTTTTTGGCTTCATGACTGATTTATATTCTTAAGAGTTACTGTAATATCAAAGGGGTTTTTTTTTTTTTTTTTTTTTTTTTTTTTTTTTTGGTCTTTTTGAGATAGGGTCTCACTATGCAGTTCAGGCTGGCCTTGAGCTTACTTCGTACCAGGCTGGTCTGGAACTCACAATGGTCCTCCTGCCTCAGCCTCTCCAGTGCTGGGATTACAGGCGTAGCCACCATGCCCAGCCATACTTTCTGCTTTATTAAAACCCTCCTTTCTTGCCTTCTTCCTGGGACTTTAGTGCCCATAGTTTCATAATGTCATGCATTGGTCTTTTAGAGGATGGCTTTGCTGAGTGTCCAGGTCCCCGGATCTCAGACTTCCGTGACAGCGTGCAGTGCCACGTGGTAGCTCACCACTGACCTCAGCAGAGGAGTCTTTCTGTACTAGGAGCCCTCTGGCTTTTGCTGATGGAGACAAGTTTTCCAAAATGTTAATTTTGCCTGAGATTCCTGTTGTCACTAGAAACAAGTTCTTGGGGTTGTTCTCAGTGCCCCACACACTCAGCTCTGCTTGTAGTGCCGCACTTGCTCGTGGGAGACAGTGCCTCTCAGGTGTGCAGGTCTGGCGCTGTGTGGCCCAGAGGCCCCGTGGGTGTCCCTGCATCACCTCCCCACATGGGTGCACAGGAGCTGTCCTAGTGCGTTCCACGTGCTCCGCAGGACATGAAGGCCCTTGCCAAAAGGCTGAGTGTCCCAGCCCCTCCAGGACTCAGGAGCCTGCGCATGTGCTCCACAGTGATGTGGAGCGGTGCACGTGGGGAGGGCAGAGCGCTGAGCTGGGGCCGTCCCTCGAGGTGTCTCCGAGCCCCTGGCGTCCCCTTGCCCTCTGGGCAGGCTGGAGGCACCACAGTTCCACCCGTGTCGTCTTCCTTTGCATGCTGGGCTCACGCGTGCTTTTAGGGTTCTTCGTGAGCTTCGGCTCTTCTGGTGGAGCCCTGGCTCTGCCGCCAGCCCGCGTGTGGGGATTCTGCACTGGCTCCGGAGCCCTGGTGGACAGCGTGTCCCAAGGAGCCGCGGGGCGGCGCTGGCCGCGCTTGCTGCCCCTGGGCCGGCGCTCGTCTGCGGCGTGACTGTCTCCCCGTCGGAGTGCGGGTGGCGGGCCTGTCCCTGGCACTCAGCCGCCAGCGCTCCCGTCTTGCTGTCGCTGCTCCTTGTCTTTCTGCTGTGGATTTCCAGCTTTTGCGTTTTCTGGGTCATGTGTGGCAGACAGCACATGGTGAGAGAGTGGTAAGTGTTTAGTCTCCTTGATTATTTCAGTCGTGTGTAGTACGTCACCTTAGAATGGTCTTTCTGTCAACAACCGGAAAGGAACTTCTAGTGTAAGTAAAAGGACGTTCTTCTATGTGGTACTTTTTAGTGGTTTTACTTTTCCTCAGAAATTATGACCGCATCATCTAGTTTTGTTTTGTGTTTTATTTGACTTTCTGGCTTGTTTCTGTTTTTTGAGACAGGCTGTCACTATGTGGTCCAGGCCTTCCCGGAGCTGCCTGCGTTGTCCTAGCCCCAGACGCGAGCTGCCCCTCCTCAGCTGCCCTGAGCGCCGAGACTAGGCCTGCCCCCCAGGGCCTGCTTGTTATGTGATTTTTAATCACACTTTTAACACTCAGTTGTGGATTTAACTTTCTTCGTGTTTTCTAATTCATTGATTTTTATGTTTACCAGTATTGATTTTTTCTTTATGTTTTTTTCAGTTTAAAATCAAATTATAAATTCTTATTTTCACTGCTGGGGGTTGAACGCAGCACTCCTCAGCTAGGGAGGGCTGCCTCCCCTAGCCCTCTTCGTTCATTCATTTGAGACAGGGTCTTGCAAGCATCCAGGAAGGTCAGACTTGCGGTGCCTCAGCCTCTGTGCTGCGTCTCTGGCGCGTGCCTGGCTCCCTCGGTCCACTCCAGGCCAGAGCTGCAGTTTGTGCTGTGGGGACTGTAGGCGCCACCTGAGGTGTTGGCCAGCTTGGGAGAGCAGCTGCCTTCTTAGTGTGTTTCTCTTCTACCGTAGGTAAATCTTAAGATGAGAGAGATAACGGAGAAGGAAGCCAAGTTAAAGCAGCAGGTACTGGAGAGCCCAGCTCATCAAAAGGTAAATGGCAGGTTTAGTTCTTGGGATGACTAGTGCTGGCTCCTAGGGCTGCACCTGTGCCTTGTGTCCTGGTCTCCTTCCTGACCCCGTGAAGCCAGCCCAGGGCTGTGGTGGCCTCGCCTGCCCTTAGCGGGATCTGGCTGTTGGACTGTAGGCGGGTGAGGGTATGCTGGGAGGGCTCGGCAGTGGGCGCCTGGAAGCAGGCTCCCACAGTTAATGCCTGAGGACCCCTGGTGCCTGGGGTGCCCTGGCTCATCCCTGCGGAGGCCTTGGGGTGCAGCGGAGCAGCGGACAATGGGGACGCCCCATGTGGGGATTCGGGTGGGAAACTTGTGTGCTGTTGATGTGCCACACGTTCCGGGCTTTAGTTTCTTTCCCTGGTGTCACTTTCTCTTTTGCCAAGCACGTGCGTACAGGACACGGCCTAGCTGTCACACAGTCTCACTGGCTGTGGAGAGTGGTCCCCCATTCCCCCCCAGCTCCTCTCCCTCCCAGCACTGCACCAGCTGGCTCCTGTCTGCAGCCCAGAGCCTCCCCTGTGGCTCCGAGGCATTGCCCCTGACTGGAGGTGGTACGTGCATGTGCGTGGGTACTGCCTTGCCCTCCTTCGTGGGGTGGACTGCTGCTCGCCTGGCCCTGGCTCCGGCCCTGGCCCAACCCTAACCCTTGCCTAGTCCTGAGGCGTTCTTTGCTCTTGCAAAGGACAGAGTTGAGAAAGGGGTATGTCACCTTGCCCTTGACTATCCTGGTACTGTGGTGTGGGGAGGTCTCAGGTGCCTAAACGCCTTTGCCTGTGGGGTGCTGTCCCCACCTCTGGCGTGTGAGCGTGTCACGATGTCCCCGTAGACCTGCTGCTGACCCTCCTCTCCACTTCCTTTCTGCTTCCTGAGCAGTCTCCCTCCAAGTGGTATTGGAAGTTAGTGCCCGTAAGTGACCCCGCCACAGCTGCCATCTGCTGAGCCATCCTGTCGCCATCACGCGCTGCCATTGAAGTTGCTCGCACCCAGAACTGTTTTTCTTTTGTTGTTTGTTCAGTGTCCCCCGGGGACTGAGGTCACGGCTTCCCTAGGACCGAGTGCATGAGCGCCCGGCCAGGCTGGATGGGGCTGGGTGTGGCGCTGCAGGGCTCCTCGTTGTACCTGCCCAGCCTCCTCCTGCTTGTGTCTGCTCACAGTGACCCCTCCATGTGACCAGCACAGCCCAGCTGACAGTCTCCTTCATAGCGGCCCAGGCTGCTCCTGAAGCTTGGCCTTTCTGGTGTTCCCTGCCTAGCGGTGGCGTTTGCCTTGCTGTCCCCTGGTGTCCCAAGGCTGGTGTCCAGTTGGGAAGGTGGCTCCGTGGTGAGGGTGGGGGGGACTGTGGAAAGGGCTCTTGCTCGTGTCCCCAGGGCCCACACCCTCCTCCTGTGCCCCTCCTCCCTGGCATGTGCTGCTCCCAGGCAGGGGCTGAGCGTGGTTGGCAGGCCGTCACAGGCTCAGGGCTTCTGCCTTAGCTTGCAGACAGTTCTGGCTGCATCTCACCTGGCGGCCCATTCTGGACAGAGCGAGTTTCTGTGTCACCCTGTGCCCACAGAAAATGCTTGGTGCCCAGTGGTGCCTTTGCGCATGACCTTGTGGACGCGAGTCCGTGTGCAAATGGTTCTGTTTGTGTCCCTCTGCAGCCTGTGCGTGCTGGCTCCCTGACTGGGACTGGATTGCCCTCAGGACCCCTCCCTGAGGAGCCTATGGCTGTGGGCTGCACAGGGCTCCTCTGCGCCAGGCCACTGTGTTTCTCAGCGTGCGTTAGTGGGCGGGCTGTCTCATGGTTGCCACAGATGTCTGGCTCTTGAGTCCCAAGTGTGATTAAGGCCAGGGCTCACAAATTCAGTTGTATAGGAGATTAATGTGATGAAGACAGAAAATTGTCCCCGTATCATCTGGCACAGTATAATCCCAGCATTCGGGAGGCTGAGGCAGGAAGTTCTGTGTGAGTTCAAGGCCAGCTTGGGCTACACAGCAAAAGTGTCTCAGAAAACAAAAACAAAACAAACGAATGTAAAAGAAAAAACCAAAAAACCAAAAATCAAGCGAATGTTCCTTCGCAGAGAATGGGTGAGTGCCCTGCCACAGTGGTCCTCACCACCTGGCCAGGATGAGTCCGATAAAGGTGGTGGGCAGAGGTTTTACCTTGGCACCCCACAGCCAGTGACCGGGGCAGCTGTGTGGGGCAGGCGTGCGAGCGAGCGCCCTGGCCCTGTAGCTCCGCCTGCAGCCCGACCGGCCCTCATCATCCATCTTTAAGCGAGAGACCATTTGCTTCATGCATGACTCTGCTCGCCCCCATGTCTGCTGTCCGTGGAAGCCTGGCCTGGCGCATGCTGTGGTACATTGCATGCTGGATCCCGTGGACCTTGCACGTGTGGTACAGTATGAGGCGGGTTACTGTGGGAGCATGTGTCCTGGGATCCGAGAAACAAGTTAAAACGAGGCTTGGAACAACGTGTTCACGCAAAACAGACCCTGTTGTGGAATTTGTAAAGACAGCGTTAGAAGTGTCCTCTGCTGAACGTGACTGCTTTGTACTTTGTGGCCCTGGACATCAGCTGGCAATTCTGGCCTAGGAACTTGCTTACCTGCAGAACCAGAAACTCAGGCTTCTTTTGGCTCAGAGCAGCTGGGCTCTTCCTGTAGTCTCCCTACAGGAGCTGTGGCTGGCAGGAAGAGCCACGTGTGGAAGCCATGTGGGGTGAGCTGGTGCAAAGTGGGGGGGTGGGGGGCTGCAGGCTGAGGCGGCTGGCCCAGCCGCTGTACTCCATCCACTCATACCGCTGCCAGAGCAGGGCTGAGGCCCCCGGCGTCCTCTGCGTGGAGACCTGGGGCCACAGCCCAGTGGCTGCGTCCTGAGCGCATCTCTGCGCTTCCTAGCACGCTGGGGTTGTGCCCCGAGAAAGTAGTCTCACCTGCTCTCAGAGTGCTCAGATTCTGCACCTGGACTGTGTTCTCCTTAACAGCCACGGTGAGCTGACCACGCGTGCAAGAGCTGAGAGCTACTCCTGAAGCCCGAAGCCCGAAGCTCGTTTAACTTGTTTCTCGCTAGTTTGTAGCGTGTTGGCTCTGGTAGCGTAGCTGTGTGCTCTGCCTCGTTCCCGTGTGTCTTCTCCAGTGTCAGCTGCCGCTCAGTATGGCCGGTGCCCAGGTCTCTGGTCTTAACGAGGGTTCTGGGCAGAGTGGTGCCAGGCAGGCCGAGCGTGCCAGGCCGCCACAAGTTCTCTCCGAGTCTCGGGCCTACCCATGTGGTGCTCCTGCAGTGTGGCCGCAGCACACACTGGTGCAAGTGCACGTGCAGAGACCGTTTTCCTTTTATCAACTGCAGGTCCGCTATCGGCGAGAGCACCTTTCCGCTAGGCAGTCGCCCTACTTTCCACTATTGGAGGACTTGATGCGTGGCGGCAGCGATGGTGCCGCTCTCTTGGCAGTAGTGCACTACTACTGCCCCGAGCAGATGAGGCTGGATGGTGAGTGGACGCCTGCTGCGCCTCGGAGGCTCCAGGCGCGTGCAGTGTGCGGGCAGCCCCGCAGGGCTACACACCTAGGGCGGCTGCGCCTTGTCTGAGGGAGACACAGCACAGCAGCTGTGTCCGGGGAATGTGTCAGAGCGTGTGGGGCTTGCCTGTCGTGTGCCTCGGAGTGGGTGGCTCTTACGTATCCTCCCTGTGGCTGACCAGTTGGAACTCCGCCGGGGAGCAAGGCTCATCAGTACCGCGAGTGCCGCAGAGCACTCCCGAAGCTGTGTGTGCTTGGCACTGGCATAGTCTGCAGCGGGGCAGGGCAGAGCCCAGGCCGCATCTGCCCAGGTGCTGCTGAGCACCCTTGCGTCTAGAGCAGCCTGCACAGGCATCGCAGCTCAGCCTGCTCAGGGACAGAGGGGTCGGGCAGTGTGTACCTTCTTAAAGGCAGATAGCTCACAGACACTGGGCTGTATGCCCAGTGCCTCCCTGTCTGGTCCAAGCTGACTACACACACCTGGGCCGCAAGGGTTCATCCCTCCTCAGCCTTCTGGGTAGCTGAGGTGCAGGAGAGTAGCATGGTACTCACAGAGCTGCACTGGAAGGATGGGTAGCCTCAGCTGCCAAGAGAGGCCTGGAGGAGAGCCCGAGGGAGGACCTGTGGGTACCTTGAGGCCCAACAGGCTATAGCCTGCAAGTCCATCGGGCCTCAGAGCTGTGCATCAGGAGCTGCGACTGGGAAAGTGCAGGGGCTCTGGGGTGCCCGCCTCTCTGGGGCCAGCAGGATGTAGTGGCAGGGAGGCCGAGGCTCCAGGGGAGGGCTAGTGTGAGTGCTCTGGGGCTGGGGATCCTCATGGCCCTGCAGGAGTTCTGATAGAGCATCCAGGCCCCTCCTGACCTGGTGGAAGAGCACAAGTGTCTGTCGGGGATGTAGGCCCCAAAGCCCGGATGGAGCTGGCAGGAAGACGTCAGTGATAGTGCCTCGGGCTTGGTGCCTCTTCTGTCTGCACCCCTGCATCTCCTTTCTGGTGGTAGCATCCTCTTGGATCTGGCTGCAGGAGCTGGGGGCCTACACTTGGGGAAACTGAGCCAGGCAAGCTGTGGGGTCAGGGACAGGCAGGCTTGAGGTGACGCCCTGATGAGGGGCTTTGGTGAAAGCTGCTCTGTGTGGTTCGCCCACCCCAAGGAGCCTCAGCTCTTGCCCAGCTCCAGGAGGCCCCCTGGAGCCGGAGCTGGATGCAGAGAGGGTCAGGAGTCTCCTCAGCAGAAACTGGGCTCAGGGAGAAGACCAGACCACTGAGGCTTTCCCTGTCACCCGCAGAAAAACTCATGCCTCCCCGCCTCTTAATGGGGTGTGGGTGGCCAGCAATTCCTGGCCTGAATGAGCCCCAGGCCACAGCGGCAACATAGGAGAAGCAGCGCCACAAGGGGGTAGAGAGTCAGAATCCAGGGAGCTCCGGGGAGGGAGCGCTCAGTCCCTGAAATGTCAGAATTCTCTAAAGAGCTAGGTTAATTGGAGTTGAAGGAACCTTGGAACCAGGGTGAGGAGGAGGAAGAAGAAAACCCAGAGATGAGTGGAGGAGGGAAGAACAGAGGAAACTGAGGCAACACCAGAAAGTGTAGAGGAATGCCCCCGGGAGGCAAGAGACCACCCTGAAGGGCCCTGGGTGGTCAGTGTGATTGCTGAAGCAGGCCGAGGGCACAGGAACGGGATGACACGGGGGCAGCTGAGTGCACCCCACTGCGCAGGGAGGCTTTAGCCTGGTGCATTCCCGCCCAGGGGCGGGAGAGAGGCTCACATCTGCTCCAAAGGCCCCAGTATTCAGGGACCAAGCCCCCTGGCTCAGGAAGGGCAGGTAGGCCCAGCTCATTGGCCACCAGACAAGTACGAGGTCTGAGACACAGCAGAGGTACAGGGAGAGGTGTGGCTCAGGTAGCCCAGGGACATCCTCTGGGTCCAGCCACCCAAATGCTGTGTGATGCGGTAGCCACCACCTGCTGCTTGGCAGCATGATTGTCACTTGGTGCTGGCAGGGTGGGCACAGGGACAGTGTTCAGAGGAGATGTGAGTCTTGGCCAAGGGCTAGTGGGCTTAGGTAGACAGTGGCTACTTCTTAAGCTTTTTTTTTTTTTTTTAAATGTATTTGGCAGAAGGATTTTTTTTTTTTTTTTGGCTTGAACAGAATGCCTTCAGGGCATGTTTTGCTGGCTGGCGTTGTGGGGATCGAACCACAGCAACCTGAGGCAGACTGTTTTGTTGAAGCAGCCACTTAAACAACTGAGCTACGGGGCGGGCCCTTGTAATGCGTTTGGCACAGGGTCTCGTTACGCAGGTCAGACTCTTTTGCAGTGAGCCTCTTGTTTTCAGCCTCCCCAGCGCCACCATGCGCGGACTCTGTCACCTTCTCAGCATGCAGTACTGGGGATCAATCCCCAGTCCCTGTGTTTGTCTAAGCAGGTGCTTAGTCAACTGAGCTCTCTTGCTGGCCCCTTCGTCAGTTTTTCAGTAAAAATCCTGGTGGCATTTTAAAGACTTTATGTCTTTTGTTAATACAAAAATCTTAAAAATTTTTAGTGAATTTGATTGTATGATAATAAATACAAGTTTTAAAGACAGACTATATAAAACAAAAGCTTTTTTGTTTTTGTTTTTTGTTTTGTGCCAGGGATTGAACTTAGTACTTTGTACTTGTCAGGGAGGTGCTTAAGCCCCTGAGCTATCTCCCCAGCCTAAAAGCTTGTTCTTTTAAAAGATTAATAAAATAATTTTCTGGAAAGATCAAAAAGAGGGCAAAAGTAAAGAATATAGTAAATAAAAAACCAACAGATTTAATAGGTAGCAGATAAAACCAGGAAGAATATCCGTGTGCCAGTGTCATTTGGATATTAGCCGCCGAGGCGCATTCCCGCTGGGCCCAGGAGAGAGGAGAGCCTGGGACCCAGCCGCCGCGAAGTCAGGGGCTCGCCAGTCTGGAGACGCCTTCACGTGGGCGGGCCGGTCTGGGGCGCCGTATGCCAAGGTCAGGGGCCTGGCGGTGTGCGTGGTGCAGACTGGCCCGGGACAGCACGGGGGCTGCCCCGCCCCTGGTGAGGGGGGCTGCTCCCTGACACGGCCTCAGGAGGGAAGCCAGTGGAGAGCTCTCCCTGCTCCTACAGGCTGCCAGTTCCTATGTGAAGTGTCAGAAGGCAAGACTTGGACATGGACGTTCCCTCCGATCCTCCCAGTAGGAGGTTCTAGGCCTGTTGGTGACCTGCTTTGACCTGGTCCAGTGTTCCACACCTCATGAGCTCCTCACACATGTCCTGTCCTGTTTGTAACAGAGGGAGGACTATAAAGAATTCCAGAATGAAGTCAGTGAAGAGAAGGGAGAAAAACATGAAAACAGGTTTAAAATTGTGTGGGAAAAGCACATCTTTCTATAGTGCTCGGGCCAAGATTTAACGTTCTCAGATGCTGAGTCAGTATCCTAAATGTAATTTTTCGGAATATCCTGTAAGTTTATTGCCAGTCAAGTAACTGTTGTTTTCACAGAAATCGATGTCAGTGTAAAATTCGCGCAACTAAGTGCAAGCCCAGGCCGAGCTCTCGCTCTGTCACACTGCCCAGAGCTGATTTAGGTACACAGGGCGCTCAGGGACCCTGCAGGTCCCCAGGCTCCCGTGGCCTCTCCCCAGCTCGCTTGCGGTAGCAGCTCTCGTCCTTCAAGCCGATCTCCCTGCGGCTTCGGGCGTCTAGCTTCTGTCTGAGCTGCCGCCAGCTGCCTCGGCCTTGCATTTGTGAGGCTTGCGGGTGGTAGAGTGTCCCTCTGCCGTCAGTCAGCTCTTTTCCCCCACTGTCCCCGTGGGTCAGGTGGCCAGTGCCAGCTGCCCAATGGGTGAGGAAGATTCTGCTTCAGTGGAGTGGGGAATTACACATAGAGCCCTGAAAAAAGGCGCTGTGCAGGGGACCCATGTGTTGGGTCACAAGCCTCTTGGATAGATAGGACTGGCTCGTCATACCTGATACAGGTGGCCATCGTATGACCTGGCTTCTCCTTAGAAGTCCCTATCGGTGGGCCTGTGGTGCTTCCACGTGGTGAGCCTGATGTCCTAGAGTTAGATTGTCCTGCCCCAGGGAACAGCAGGTGTTCCTGCAGCTTCGTGGAGGAGGCTTGCACTGTGCGGAGTCTTGGCTTTGGGATTGGTGACCTTCCTGGACCCTGAACTTGGCTTCTCCCAGCATGGACAGGGCCTTGTGAGAGGCTCTGGTTGCCAAGGGGAATCCGGTCACTACCCCTGTGCAGCAGGGCTCTGGGGTGAAGAGGTCAGGGCCACCTTTCAGGTTAGAAGCCTGTCTCAAATTAGGAATCTGTTAGAGTGTTTCAGTGTCAGCTGCCAGACTCAGATCTTGGAGTTGTCTTGGCCTTTTCCTTGAGATAGTTTTAAATCTCCTGACGTCATTCCTCTGAGTTCTGCCCCTCCCTGTCTGTCAGACATATGCCTGAAGGAGGCACCGTCCACGGCAGACAGCCTGTACAACATCCGGCTCCTGAGAGAGTTCGCCAGCGAGCACCTGAACAAGTGCTTCTACCTCACGCTGGAGGACATGCTGTACGCCCCCTTAGTGCTCAAGGTGAGGCCGGGGCACTTGCGCTTAGGGTGGGGCTGTGCATGGCCTGTGCTTCCGTCCTCATCTAGATTTTCATTTCTTTTTTAGCCCAATGTCATGGTCTTTATTGCTGAACTCTTTTGGTGGTTTGAGAATGTCAAGCCCGATTTTGTTCAGCCTCGGGATGTTCAGGAGCTGAAAGACGGTAAGTGGCTGATCCGCCGCCGGGGGTCCGGGACTGTGTGGGGGTTAGAGTGGCCGCCAGGCCCACGTCTGTCCACTGTTCTTCTTCTAGTCTGTGTAGCGTTTTAACAGTAACACTCGCCAGTATAGTGGTGCACACCTGAAATCCCAGCAGTTAGGAGGTTGAGGCAGGAGGATTGCCCACCTGAACTGCATAGCAAGACCCTAGCTCAAAAAACCACCCAGAAAGTCAAATCTGACATACAGCGTATTTGTTAAATTTGGCACCAGTGTTCTGGTGGTGTTTGGTTTCAGGTAAATGTCAAGTTCCTTTTGTGTTTATAAAAGATGCAGGTTTAGCCAGGTGTAGGTATAGTGGCTCATGTCTGTAACCTTAGCCTCGGGAGGCAGAGGCAGAAGCGAGCCTGTGAGCTCAAGGCCAGCCTGAGCTACGCAGCGAGTGGTCATCTGCCTCGTCTGCATTCAGGGGCCCTGTCTCAAGGCAGGCGTGGGCTTTGCATTTCATGCTGGCTTCTGTGAAATCGTTACTTCTGCAGCTAAAGCAGTGTTACAGCAGAGGAGCAGCCGGCCCCCTGTGCCGATCTCCAATGCCACCAAGCGCAGCTTCCTGGGCAGCCCTGCTGTGATGAGCCCAGCCGACCTCCCGCCCACCTCGCTGCCGACCGAGGGCGGGCTCCGCTACCACCTGCACCCCGAGGAGCCTGAGTGTCTGTGAGTGTCTCTCCGCCTGGACAGGCGTTTGGTTTCGTCTTCACAGTGGCTGAGGCAGTGCCGTGCTCCCTCTCAGGAGTACACAGGCAAGTGCCCAGGCCGCCGGCGGGCTGTCCTGGTGGGGCCTGCTGCGCCTGCTGATGCAGACTCCTCCAGGACGTGGGCCCAGGCCAGCACTGTGCACAGAAAACATTTCTTCATTCTCCTTTTACAGTAAAGTATGTGGTTTAAAAGTAGTCTAAAGAGTAGAAACATTGAAATAAGAGTTTAAAATCAGTTTGAAATATGGTCTAGTAGAATGTAAGGAATGAAAAACTCTTGCATTTTAAGCGTCGTAAACTGCCCGCCTCGTGACCCGGGTCAGTCTGCTTCCTTAACTGCAGTGACAGTTCACGTGGTTCTGGCGAGAAACGGCCGCCCTCTGCTTTCTGGACACTGGAGTCCTTCTCCCGGGCCTGGCCTGGCTAGCACAGCATGGTGTAGATGGGTGCAACAGCCTCTGGACTCGGTGGGAGCCTGGTGCTGGGGGCGGGGGGCATGGGGGTCCCACCCAGAGCACACCTAGGACCTGGAAAGGCCTTTGGAAGTGTGGAGAGAGTGTAGTGGGGCTTAGGGTTAGAGCTGGACTCGGGCAGTTCTGAGCCAGTGGCTAAGCTGCATGGTGTATGGGACAGCTGGGGGGAAGGACCTCGCATCCTTCAGTGTCTGCGTCTTTGGAAGGTTCAACAAGGCGGAGAGGTCCTCAGACCCGAGAAGCCATTTGTTGGCCTGCCTGCCGAGGGAGGGACGTGGCACATTCTGGGTGGGGGTGAGGTCCAGCAGGGGGGCCTGGTACAGAGAGGAGAGCTGTAGCTCAGAGCCTGTGGGCACGGGTGGGATGGCAGCTCCCAGGCAGAGTGTATAGCCTCGTGGCACCCCGTGCAGGTGCTGGGCGTCCTCTCTCCAGGCTGTGCCCCTGGGTGGTTAAACCAGCGGCAGCAGTGTGGGAGCTTTCCATGGGCCTGGTGCCACGCACCCATGCCGCCCTGCTCTCCACCTAGCAGTGTGCTGTGGGAAGGTGCCCACCTGCCGAGTGGCCATTGTGTCTGGGATTTAAGGGCGCTGCCTCCAGGCCGGGGTTCCCTGAACCCTGCCCTCTGGGGCACACAGCTCTCAGCCTCTGTGACCTCTCTTTCCCTCTCCCCTCGTTGCTCACTCCAGCACCCCATCTCTTGCTCTTGTCTCCCCCTGCTTTCCCCCTTTTGGTCTTTGAGACAGGTCTCACTGCAGCTCAGGCAAGCCTTGAAGTAGACCCTGGCTGTGGTGACAGCGTCTCTCTCTTGTCTGCCCCGGTGACCCTTGCGTCTGCCTCCTTAGGCCCGTGCCTAGCAGCTGCAACCCATGTGCTTGTGTCCCGCAGTCCCCTACCTGCCACACCTTTGTGCTTAGCCTTGCCAGGCTCCCGGGAGTGTGGCAGCCAGAGTGCCCCTGCGCTGCGGGCCTGGCAGCCCTCCTCCCGATGTGCCCGTGCCTCCAGCAGGAGCGTGTGTCCTCACACGCGTGCCTCTGCAGCGCCTGCTGTGCCTGCCCCTCGGGGTGGCCGAGGCAGTCTTCGCCGCTGCCGAGCCCCCGACTCTCCCCAAGCCAGCGGTGTGCAGTGCGGGCAGCCACACTCTTCAGTCTCTTCCTGTTTCTGCTCTGGCTTCCCTTTAACCTGAGCTTCGTGGCTGTTGAGATGGGAAGCTGGTTGGGTTGCACACTGACCAGAGTCTTGCTCCCTGTGTGCCGCTTGGGTTTGCTGCAAGTTCAGAGTTCCTGGCAGCCTTGTCGCTCGCTTCCAGAGCAGTATTTCCCAGGAAACCTGCCAAGCTGCTCACAGCGGAGAGGGGAGTCTGGATTGTCCCTGTTGGGCCATTTGCATTTGCCTTTGAAATTGAAGTTTTATCATTGGTGATTTTCTCTCTAATTGTTTTCCATTTAGTGGGAAAGGAACTTCCGCGTTTAGTCCGTCCCATCCTTTACTGCCGCTGAGGCAGAAGCAGCAGAAAGCAGCGCAAGCCGAGGAGACGCCCGGTGAGTCTCCTCCCTCCCGTCCTTATCACAAGACTTCCCAGAGTGAGCGACCTAGCTCTGCTGTCCGGAGGCCAGTTACGAATGGGCTCGTGAGCCCTCATGTGCGCTGTGCACCTCGAGTTTACCATCTTACATGACCCCCCAAGTCTGATAAATCCCGCGTAGGCAGGATTGCTGCGGGAATCAAAGCAGGAGCTTCCGCACTGAGGTTCCCTAGGATTAGGTTCCTGCCCTCCCTGGGTTGGGTGGTTGATACCCAACGTGAGTTACCAAGACTCAGTGGGATTGGCGTGGTTTTCTGCTTGCCTTGAGTAGTTTTGGTGTATGCGTCACGAGCATTTCCTGGGAAGATGTTTGTTTGCTGAAAACATTTCCAGTGGTACTGAATGTCATAATTCCTCCGCACTGCAGATCAGCGGCATCGATCTAATTCATTAACCCGAGTTGACGGTCAGCCCCGCAGCGCAGCAGTAGCATGGCCAGAAAAAAAAAACAGGTGAGTGTCGTGTCTCCCCCGGCCCCTAGATTTTTTATCTCTTTGAGATGTGTCTCACTGTGCAGCTCAGGCTGGCCTTGAGGTCACCGTGCAGCCCAGGCAGGTCTTGAACTTTCGGCAGTCCTCCTGCCTCAGCTTCCCGAGTGGTAGGATTACAGGTGTGCACCACCACGCCTGGCGCAGGTTGGCCCTTAGGGTGATGTTTCCGTTGGGCTTTCACCAGGCTCCTGAAGCCTGAGCCCTGTCCCGTGGTGGTGCCGCGCGCTCTTGCACACAGTTCCACCCCATGGTTTCTGCTCACTTTCAGGCCTGCATCCCAGCCAACACCTTTCGCACTGCATCATGCCACCAGCTATGAAGTAGACCCTGGCTCTGGTGACAGCATCAGCTTGGCCCGCTCCATCAGCAAAGACAGCCTGGCTTCCAACATTGTCCACCTGACGCCCCAGAACCAGCCGCACCCCACAACTGGGAAGGCCAATGGCAAAAGCCTCCTGAGCAACGTCAGTATTGAGGATGAAGAGGAAGAGCTCATGGCCATCATTAGGACGGATGTGACTGCCCACTGTGGAGACCCGGAGGTGACCAGGGTCTCCCCTCGTGCGCCAGTCCTGCCAACCAGTGCAAAGTCTCCGCAGAGGCAGTTGGACATTGTGGAGAGTAAGCCTGACAGTTTCTTCCTGGAGCCCCTCCTGCCAGCAGTACTGAGGCCAGCGAAGGAGAAACAGATTATTACCAAGGAAGACGAGTGTGGGGAAGGGAGGCCGCGGAGCTCCACAGCCAAGCGGTCCAGTGAGGGCCCCCAGCCGCTGGCACGAAAGAAAGTGACAGGCAGCCGTGGTGGGCGGGATTCGAACAGGACTTTCACCCCCATCCCTTCTTCAGAGTTTGTGGCAGGCATCGACCCCGCTGAGGCACGTCTGCATTCAGTGGAAGCCCTGGGAGAAATGCGCGGGGGGCCTCTGGCCACGGGTGGGTCCCAGCCATCCCCCCAGGGCCAGCCTGCGGATGGCTTCTTTCTTCACGTGGGCAGGGCCGACGACGTGGAGGGGAGGCTGTGCATCGGCTCGAAGAGCCCCAGCTCACAGGACTCAGAGCCCTGGACGCTGCTGAGGCAAGACTCTGACTCGGACGTGGGTGACATAGAGGATGCGGAGCAGGACTTGGTCGGTGAGGGCCACCCTGTGGCCATCAGTGCCTATGCTGGGGAGGAGGAGTCGGCCAAGTTGCAGGAGGACATGAAGGTGCGGGAGCACGAGGACAAGGATGGCGCCAGTGGCCGCTCTAGCCCATGCCTGAGCACGGCCTCCCAGCTCAGTAGCGTGTCCCTGGCCAGCGGGAGTGTGAAGATGACCAGCTTCGCAGAGCGGAAGCTCCAGCGGCTCAACAGCTACGAGACCAAGTCCAGCACCAGCAGCTCCCAGAAGACCACACCCGATGCTTCGGAAAGCTGCCCAGCGCCCCTAACCACGTGGAAGCAGAAGCGGGAGCAGAGCCCAGGCAGGCACGGCAGGGACGCCGCCAGCCTGCTGGCCTCCGAGCTGGTGCAGCTGCATATGCAGTTGGAGGAGAAGCGCAGGGCCATCGAGGCGCAGAAGAAGAAGATGGAGGCTCTGTCTGCGCGGCAGCGCCTGAAGCTGGGCAAGGCCGCCTTCCTGCACGTGGTGAAGAAGGGCAAGGCAGACGGCGGGCCGCTACGGCCTGAGCACTGTGTGAAGGAGTACGTTCAGCACAACGGCGAGGACCTGGAGGGCAGTGCTTCCAGAGCAGAGGGTGTGCTGGTCCGGGCTGAGCAGAGGGAGGGCCTCAGCGAGTCTCGGGATGCAGACGGAGAGAGCCTGGTGCTTGTGCAGCCTCACAGACCCCGGGAGGTGGCCGCGCTGCATGACATGGCTAAGAGCAAGACGATCCCCGCCGCCCTCCTGGAGGACACGGCGGGCGAGGCTGTGGACATGACCGAGTGTGAGCTGTCCATTGAGAAGCTCAACGAGACCATCAGCACGCTGCAGCAGGCCATCCTGAAGATCTCGCAGCAGCAGGAGCAGCTGCTCATGAAGTCCCCTACTGTCCCAGTGCCAAGCTCCAAGAGCAGTTCCCAGGACCAAAAGGTGAAGGCTGCCATCCACTTTGTGGAACCACTCTCGCCTCCTGGGCTGGCAGGTCACCGCAAACCGCCCCGGCTGGGCCAGGGCCGGAACTCCCGTTCTGGAAGACCAGTGGAGCTCAAGGTTCCGAAAGACAGGCAGCAGGCTGGCTCCTCCAGGAGCAAAACCCCGACACCCAGCGCGGAGGGCCCCCCGCACCTACGCCCCTTCCCCCCAGGATATCCCCCACGCACGCCTCCCGACCCGGCTGCAGACAGCACCGCAGAGCCCGGCGGCCACCCTCCCGAGAAGGGGCTCTTCGACAGTTACCGGCTCCATGATGAGAGCAACCAGCGGACATTTGTTCTGTCCTCGTCCAAAGATCCCAACATCATCGCGGAACAGATGGGCCTCAGAGACGTTCTGGACGCCGCCGTGAAAGAGGCAGGGCTGAGCTCCAGCAGGGAGTTCCTCCCTACAAAAGAGAGCGTCTCTGTGGAGGAGCCACTGAGGAGCAAGGCCAGCCTCATCGAAGTGGACCTGTCTCACCTGAAGGCCCCCGACGAGGACGGCGAGGTGGCTGACCAGGACAGCGCCCCCGAGCTCATCAGCGATGGGGACCAGAAGCCTGGGGTTGGCTTCTTCTTCAAGGTACGTGGGTGGCAGGGTCGCAGTGGGACTGAGGCGGGCTTACACCTGGAACTGCTGGGGCGTGGCTAGACGGAGTCCAGGCGGAAGCCGCTCGGCCGTGCTGGTGGGGCCGGGCCCCAACTCTGCTCCTGGGTTCTGGGGGCTGCTTTCATGGCAGCTTCCTGTATGAGGAAGTGTTTTCCACTGATGAGTTTTCAGCTACTTCATGATGCCGGAAAGCTCCACAGAAATGCTGAGGCCAGGCTGCCCTGTGTGGAGCTCCGGGGTGCAGAGCGCTTTCCTTCTTCCCATGCTGCTGTCATCCCCAGTGGGGAAGTGGGGTGTAACCCGGGCTGCTCCTTTGTCCTGGCGGTGCTGTCCTCGTGTGAGGGCCCCCGGGCCGCGGGGCCTGCTGGTGGCGCTCAGCAGGGCTTGGGTTTGTGTGTGTGGAGCATCGCGTGGTCCCTGGGGCCCAGCTCAGAGTCTGGAACGCGTTCCGCTGCCTGCAGCCCCATTGTCGGCTGTCTGACTGGGTACCTTTGAATGGTTGGTTGGTTTTCCATTCGTTCCACAACGCATGAAAATGTGTTTACTCAGCTCAAAGTGAAGTTTTAAACTGTACGTTCAACATTCTTAAGTTTACACCAGAGTCTCATAGGTGGCTGAAGGACTTTGCCTGTACTGGTGTCACTCTCTACAAGGTGGCATCTGTGTTGTTGGTAGGATGAGCAGAAAGCAGAAGATGAGCTTGCCAAGAAGCGGGCGGCCTTCCTGCTGAAGCAGCAGCGCAAGGCGGAGGAGGCGCGGGTGCGCAAGCAGCAGCTGGAGGCGGAAGTGGAGCTCAAACGCGACGAGGCCCGGTACCCTTGTCCCCAGAAGCCTGTCCCACACCGTTCCCTTACGTACGGCACTCGGCCCAGCACCCCCACAATGGGCTCAGCCTTCCCCATGGCCCTGGCCTTGCGGGCTGTCTGTGCGTCCCACCCCAGTGGTTCTGAGGCCACTGTGTGCCACGGGAAGGGATTCCCCACGGCTGCGTGGCTCCACAGTGAGGCCACTGAGTCCCCTGCCAGAGCGTGCTGCCGGCCCTGTGCCAGCGACCCAGAGTACGCCAGCCTGGGGCCCTGGGCAGGCCTGTGAGCTGGCCCTGGCGAGGGCCTGCTGCCTTGGGCCCACCGTGGCCTGCTCTCCCCCAGGCGCAAAGCCGAGGAAGACCGAATCCGCAAGGAGGAGGAGAAGGCTCGACGGGAACTCATCAAGCAGGAGCACCTGCGGAGGAAGCAGCGGCAGATGCTGGAGGAGCAGGGCCTGGGCAAGCCCCAGCCCAAGCCCAGGAAGCCCCGGCCCACGTCCGTACACCGCGAGGACTCGCGCGGCGACCCAGGCACCAAGTGCTCCTCCACCCGTACGTGGCCTGCACGGTGTGCCCGCCCATCCTGCGTGTACAGCCTGCTCGGCTGGGGGGTGTGCGCGCGTGCCAGGACCCTTTCACGGCACGGGCAGGCCCCAAGACCACAGGGTGTGCACCCGGCAGCCTGAGGGCGGTGGCGCTGTACCTCACCTTCTGGCTGAGGAGCTCTCTGGAGAAGGGAAGGAGCCAGGCAACCTGCTGAGAGCCCAACCCTTGTCTCTGCAGCTGATAACTTGAGCCGGACGCACTCAGGCTCCAGCCTGTCCTTGGCCTCTGCAGCGACGACGGAAGCCGAGAGCAGCGTCCACTCAGGGGGCACGCCCTCTCAGCGGTAAGGAGGCCCAGCCATGGGTGGTGGGCTTCTGTTACAGAACCCCTGAGGTACTCTCGCCCTTTGCTCGGGTGGGTCCAAGCCTGTGGCTGAGCTGCGGGCGTCTCTGTAGAAAGCCTCCTGCCCTTTGCCAGGTGCCGCGGCCTGCCACGCCCTCCATCTGGGAGGGCCGAGTGCAGGCCGCCGGTCCCTCATCCCATCCCCTCCCCTTGCTGTGTGCCCAGAACGGGGCTTTCCTACATCATCGATCGCCTTCCGCTGTCCCCACGGCATCCCCAGCAGCTGGCCTCCTGTGTCCTGTGCTAGGACAGGCCCTTCACCCTGGCTGGCCTCTCGGCCTTCCTGTTTCTGTCTCCAGGCTTACTCTATCAGTGCTGCGTGTTTGCAGGATTCTCTTCCTGGCAGGTGGAGCACATGCCTGGTGCTTGTCAGCTCTTCCCATCCCCTTCCCCGCCTCCCCCGTGCCTTTCATATTTACAGGAAACCCATCTCGCCTTTTCTTGTTGTATGTCTTTAATGTTGTTCTTTATTTGTATCGTGGGTTTCTCGTAAGAAAAGCTGGTGTTCAAGCTTGTGTGTGGTTGGTTTTGCCCACCAGCATGCTCGAGGTGCAGCCATTTGCCTACAAATGGCACAGCAGTGCTCCGTCTGGCCTAAGTCCACATTATCCATCTGTGGACATCCGCTTCCACCGCTCAGCGCGTGCGTGCTGTGCCGCTCGGAACATGAGTGTGCAGGCACCACTGTGCCGTGGCACTGTCAGGGCTGTCCCCTCGGCTTTAGCTTGCTGAGGAGTCTCCTCTGCATCCCTACAGCAGTTGCGCTTGTCCACGCCCCCACCGCACTGCGGAAGGGCTCCACTTTCGCCATTGCTTGAGGGTCTTTTTTTTTTTTTTTTTTAAATATATCGGGTTGTTGCGGGTCTCACTCTGCAGCCCTGACTCGTGGTGTTCCTCCTGCCTTCAGCCTCCCCAGCGCCGGGATTCCCGGCTGCGCCACCACGCCCAGACTCTGGCTGGCTGGGGCTGGCTCAGCCCGCCCTGGGGCGGGGCTGGTGTGGCATGGTGCCGGGATGGAGCCACGGTCCCTGCACTTTGCCTCAGCTGCCGTTAGTCCAGACACTCCAGTCTGCTGCGCTGGCTCGCTGGCCCTCAAGTTCTTGGTGACGGCCGTCGCTGTGGTGTGAGAGGGATCTCAGGGCCGCTTTACTTCGCACTTCTCGAATGACCACAGATGCCGAACATGGCTTCATGTGCTTGTTTCCCGTTTGTGCTTCTTTTGAGAGGTGTCTTCATTTCAGTTGCTTATTTTTTGATTGGGTCTCTTATGGGGTAGGTTTTGAGATGGTCTCCGTATTAGTTCCCTGCCCTAGAGTGGCTGGCAGAAACCTTGCTCCGCTCTGCAGGATGTCTCTTCACTGCTCCGTTGGGTCCTTCGCTGGGCAGAAGCCTTTCTGTTTGGTGTGACTATTTGTTGGTTCTTGGTGTTGTCTCTCGTGCCATGGTGGTTCTGTTCAGAAAGTCCTGTCTTGTGTCATTATCTTCAAGAATTTTAACCTATTTTATCTTCCATCAGATTAAATGTTTCTGTTTGAATGTTTAGATCTTTGATCCATTTTTTATTTTAATTTAGTACATGGTGAGATGTTTGAATGTAGATTCAATCTTCTGTGTGGACAGCCAGTTTTCCCAGCACCATCTATTAAAGAGACTGTTTTTCCTCCAGGGTGTGTTTTTGGCCACTTTGTCAAAGATCAGCCATGAGTGTGCCTGTGGGTTTTTTTGTTTTTGTGCTACTGGGGAGCGAACTTAGGACCTTTCCCTTGCTAGGCGGATGCTTATACCACTGAGCTATATCCCCAGTGCCTGTGTTATTTTTGCGTCCTTGTTTTGTTCCATTGATTTATACTAGTACCATGCTGTTTTTATCACCGTAACTTTGTAGTACAAGTTGATATCCAGGGTTGTGAGGCCTCCTACTTTGTTCTTGTTGCCTTGGATTGCCTTTGCTCTTCTGGGTCCCTTAGTTCCCTGTGCATTTTAAGGTTGTTGTCCCCAGCTCTGTGAGGAGTGCTGTGGATGTTTTGATTAGGATTGATTAAATCTGTGTGTAAGTTTTGACATGTGACATTTTAACTTTTGGTTTTGCTTCTCCAGGAGCAGCAGTTTCTGAGTTTGTTTTTTTGTGCTTTTGTTTTTGTGTTTTTTAGGGAAGGGTCTACAGGGTGGTCAGGGTCTTATTACTAGATTGGACTCGTAGTGATCCACCTGCTTACAGCCTCCCAAGAGCTGGGATTACAGACGTGCGCCACCACGCCCAGTCTCAATTGCCATCTCAGAGCGCCCGGGGCCTGCACGACATGGCATGGCATGCCAGGGATTGAATCCCCGGCCCCTGCGCCTGTGCTTTAATCTGCTGAGCTATTTGGTCGCTCTTTCTGTTCCCTTTTCTGATGTTCTCGTCAATCTCTTTTCTAAATACTGTAGTTTTTAATTGTAGAGATTTTTCACTTCCGTGGTTACATTAATTCCTAAGTATTTAATTTTCCTGGGTGCTAGTATGGACGATACTGTTCTCTTAATTTCTCAGTGAGTTCGCTACTGTTGTACAGAAGGCTGATGATTTTCTTGTACTGATTTTATACCCTGCTGCATGGCTGCATTTGGTCATCCCAGGAATCTTGGAAATTTGGTCCTTCTCCGTGGCAGGCCTGCCTGGCTCCCCCGCTCAGGCAGGGGTCTCTCCAGCCAGGCAGGATCCTGTGTACATAGGCCGCGTAAGCTGCTGCTTGCCAGCTGCCTACCCGCTGTTAAAAGCTTCCCTTTGTGAGTAGAAAGTCCCTTTCCAGGTGACCAGAGGGCCTTTCCACATGCGCTGAACTTTCTCTCTAGGGCTTTAGGAGTCCCTGCCCAGCCCCTGTGGCATTGGCCTCAGTAGCAGCTGCTACTTCTTCCCATGTGTCCCTGTGGTGCGTGTGTCTCTTGTGTCCAGTGCCACTCTGTCTGACAGTGGGCTGTGGTTTCCTGTCTTGGGCACATCAGTGGCCTGTGGTCTCCTGGCTTCGTACAGGTTCCTCTGAGCACCCCCAGGGCTTGCTGGAATCCAGTTCTGGGCTTCTACCCCTGGCGCTGCCTGCCCCTGTGGGAGAGAGAGCGCAGCCCTGCCCTGCCCACGGTGGGGACATCCCTGCACGTGCAGCTCAGGGCTGCCAACTAGAGTCCCTGAGGTTCAGGTTTGCAGTCAGGCCCAGAGTAGCCCCTCCTGCCTGGACTGCAGCGGTGGGTCACCAGGCTGTGTCCTGCATTTCCAGAGCCAGCAGCACCGCGGTCCTCGCCCACAGGGCAGCATCCTCAGCAGAGGCGCTGAGCTACCCTCTGTCACTCGAGGGGGTGATGCTAGCTTCCACCTGTGTGTGCCTGTGTTGGGTGCATGCAGCCACGCCACCCCAACCCCCGTCCTCCTGTGCCCGCGCCACCCCAACCCCCGTCCTCCTGTGCCCGCACCACCCCGACCCCCCGTTCCCCTGTGCCTGCAGTGTCGAGTCCCTGGAGGCCCTGCCCACGCTGAGCCGCAACCCAAGCAGGAGCACTGACCGGGACTGGGAGACAGCATCGGCAGCGTCCTCCTTAGCTTCAGTGGCCGAGTACACAGGTGACGGCTCACCCCTCCCCAGCACTGTCAGGGCCCCTGGCCACATGCCTGGTGTGGCCCTCCAGGAAGTCTCGTGCTGCGCTTGGGTCTGAAGGTGCCGAGTGCCAACATGAGGTTTGCAGGAGCCCCTCGGAGAGCTGGCTGCTAGTGCCCGGGAGGCCACACACTTGAGATCTGAGGCCTTGAGCTCTCGCTCCCCCCTTCCCTCCCTCTTGCCCCCACCCCACCCCCGCGGTACTGTGTAGTAGGCCATGCCTGCAATCCCTGCTGCTTGGGAGGCTGGTATAGGCGGGTCACAAGGTCAAGGCAACTTAGCAAGACCCTGTCTTTCTCCACAGAGAGGGGTGGAGCTGCAGCGAGTCTGCAGCTTGTGTTCCATGCCAGTACCACCAAAACTAATCAATGAAAATCATTTCCTAGGTTTGCCAGTATACAGGAGAGAAATGAAAACCTGAGTAAATAAGGCACTCATTAGATACTTTAGTCTTTTTACTTTCTTTTTTTTTTTTTGGACAGAGGGTCTCACCATGTAATTCAAGCTGGCCTTGAACTTATTTTGTAATCTAGGCTGGCCTCAGACTCATAGCTAGCCTCCTGCCTTAGCCTCCTGAGCGCTGGGATTACAGGTGTGGGCCATCACACCCAGCTGTCTTTTATTAGCTTTTAAAATTTCGGCTGGAAGTGTTGTGGGTTTGCAGGGGTCCTCTGTGCACACGCCCGGGGGCCTGTGTGCCCACAGTGGTGCCTGTGTCTTGGCCCTGGGGTGGCGTTGCTGCTTCTCGGGTACGTCCCTCTTCGGACGCCGACTCGTGAACCTTGGCCCGACGCTCTCAGGTCCCAAGCTCTTCAAGGAGCCCAGCAGCAAGTCTAACAAGCCGATCATCCACAACGCCGTGTCGCACTGCTGCCTGGCCGGGAAAGTGAACGAGCCGCACAAGCACTCGGTGCTGGAGGCAAGTGTCCCGTGTGCTGCCACCGCCGCCAGGGCCAGGCGGGGACAGGGCTGTGTCTCTGTCACTGTAAATCGTCCTGGCCACAAGCGAGTGAGTAGATGGCTGTGTCCCAGGGATCAGACAGAGTTTCTGTGTCTGGGCCCCAGTGGGCACAGGAAGAGTGGGACTCGAGCATCAGAGCTCAGGGAGTGGCCGTACTTGGGACGGCCGTGGCCTAGCGTCAGCAGGCCAAAGCAAAAGACTGCCCCGGGCGGGACCCAGGGCGGGGATGGGGACAGGGTCTTGGTCGGTCCTAACAGGCCAGGCCTACATTCTGGGCACCTGGGTAGATAGGCAGAGGGCCGGAGACAAGGAGGGCTCCCCATTTCGGAGAAGCTGTGTGGCAGGGCCAGAGGAGGGCGTCCATGCGCTGGGTGTCCTGGATGTGAGCCAGTCCAGTGGCTGTGGTAGGTTGTCCTTGTGCTGTCTGTCACCTCCATCTCTGCTGGGAGAGGGGCGAGCTGGGCAGAGCTGGGAAGGAGGCCAAGAGGCAGCGTGGGGTGTGCTCACACTGGCCCTGCCCCGGTCGCTTGTAGGCATTGTTTCGGAAGGCATCAGGGTCTGAGGACAGCTTCTGTGAGTGCTGGTGGACCTGTGGGGTCCTGCTTTCTCTGCACCACCCTCAGTGTGCAGACAGCTGGGCCTGTGGGCCTGGCTGGCTCCTGTCACTTTACATTCACTAAGTAGAGATGGGCTGCTAATGGTTAGGGACAAGTAACCAGGCATCCAGTCAGACAGGGGTGTGGGGCTGCAGACGGAAAAAAGAACTGGAGGTAGAAGAGCATCCTCAGGCAAGCTGGTCTATGTGGTGGCAGAGCAGACGGAGACTAGTGGCCAGAGGCCATTGAGGTGAGAGGACATGTGGGACAGGTTCTGTTCCCTGGAGTGAAGCTGTAGTGGGGGTTAGGGCTATCACTGCTGCGGGACAGAGCCTGTCGGGTGGGAGGGTAGAGCCTGCAGCAGTCCTGGGTTTATAGGCTGGAGGAGTGAGCTCTGCCGTCTACTGGGCCAAGGACACAGCCAGCAGCTAGTGGTGGGAGGGCTGGCGTTCTCGGGAGGTAAGGACGCCAGGGTACCTCCCTGCACTGGGGTCCACTGGCCTGGCAGCCAGGGAGCGAGCTCTTGAGGGTGAGTGCAGGTCAGGGGTGCCAGGAGGAGAGCCTGCCAGGCCACCCCCAGCACACTGTGACCGTCACAGGCCAGGCTGCAGGAGCTTGCGGGTGAGGAGGCAGGCAGGCTCTGAGCCCTCGTGACTGTGGCTCAGTCCCTGAGGCAAACACTGGACCTTACTTGCTGGTTTACTATAGAAAGTAAACTGGTGTGTACAGTTGTGGCCCACCCCAGGGACATGTTCCTGTCTCAGAAACACAGACCCTGCAGACTAGAAACGTCCCTTTAGCCCGTCGTGTCGCTCATTTACCCAGAGACAAAGTGACCTGTTGTGGCAGCACCACAGAGTAGGTCTCTGTGCCTGGTAGCCGCAGTGCCCAGGAGCACCCAGGTGCCCTGAGGGGTCTCTGTGCCTGGTAGCCGCAGTGCCCAGGAGCACCCAGGTGCCTCGAGGGGTCTCTGTCCCCTCTGCGCGGCCTCCTGCCCTGAGCCGCTGTTTCTGTGCGGCAGCACCCCCCCCTCGGCCCTCCGAGGGGCCACAGGGGCTCGTGCCAGCCAGGAGCTCCTCGACCTCTGTTCCGTCCTGCCAGCAGCTTCTGGACCTCCCCCACGCAGCACTGCCGAGAGCTAGGGTGGATGCCTGCCTGTTACATGCCGGCCGAAACACATGTCTCTATTGAAATCATTGTCTACTTAAGCAGATAAAGTGGTGTGTCTCTGAGATGCCTGGTGAGGTGGCAGAGAGCTGGCCTTAGCCTGACACAGCCCCATGTGCCCTGGAGCCTCCGGAAGGCTCTGCTGTGATTGGCACAAGAGCAGGCATCAGCACTGTCTTGGTGGTACTGGGACTAGCCTGTGGACCCTCAGTGCGGACCACAGTGAGGGCTTTGGGGGAAGCTAAGTCACATGGATGTGCTCCTGGGCCCACGGGAACTGACCTGCTGTCCAGAGCACTCGTGCAAGCTCTGCAGTGGGTGGGACCACGTGGTGTGTTTGCCACAGCTTCTGTTGTCATCATGACTGTCGAGTTGCACCTCCCCCCACCCCAGGTCACTTGTTAGAGGCGCAAGCTCGCAGGTGGCATGTTCCACGAGGTACCACCAGGGTGCTGTCTCTGCCTCAGTCTCTGGGTGTGCTGGTGCACAGGCCTGTGCTGGACTTGGCCTGCAGGAGCCCCAGGACACATGCCCTTCGGGCTGGTGTCTGCCACAGAGCAGTGTTTCTGAGGTTCCCGAGTGTCGTGGCGCCTGCCGCCAGACAGCATTGCAGGTTCCATAGGCTGCGGGTCCTAGTGTCCTCTGGCAGGGGCGTGGGTTATTTCTGCTCGTAGACTGGTACAGACAGGCTGCTGTGGGCGCTGTGTCTGGTGTCCCTTGAGTACTTGTGGGTCCCACAGGGGCTGTCAGGGGCCCCTGTGTGGCTGGCACGCGTGTTCTGCCAGCACCAAGTGTGTCCTTGCTCCAGCCCCGATGACTGGCAGTGGGGCTCGTCTCCTTTTGGGGGAGGCATACAGTGCACACATGCTGCAAAGTGTCTGCCCGGCTTAGAGAAGCCCGGCGCCATCCGGTGCCCCACGGAAGGCAGAGCCGTAGCTCTCAGGCACGGGAACTGTGGCCGATGGAAAGTGGCTCCGCTGCACACGGGCGCACCTGGCTGCCCCCCTGCCGCGGTGTCGTGCCCTCAGCGTCACAGTGACGCGCTTCTCGTCCCCCACAGGAGCTGGAGAAGTGCGACGCCAACCACTACATCATCCTGTTCCGCGACGCCGGCTGCCAGTTCCGGGCGCTGTACTGCTACTACCCCGACACGGAGGAGATCTACAAGCTCACCGGCACGGGGCCCAGGAGCATCACCAAGAAGATGATCGACAAGCTCTACAAGTACAGCTCGGACCGCAAGCAGTTCAGTCTGATCCCCGCCAAGACCATGTCGGTCAGCGTGGACGCGCTCACCATCCACAACTACCTGTGGCAGCCCAGGCGGCCCGCAGTGCCAAAGAAGAGCCAGACTCGCAAGTGACCGCGCACGGCGGCCCGGGAGCACCCTCCAGGGCGGCCCTATTTATTATTTCCTCCACTTGCGCACGAAGCGTGCCGGGTCACAGACCTTTCCTGAGCCTCTGGCGGCACGTGAAGCCCAGCGGGGTGTGGACACCGTGTCCGCCATCTGCCGTGGCCCCCACTGAGCAGGGCCCCGGCTGCGCGTCTCCCCCTGCAGCTCTCCGGGACAGGTTGCGCGAGACCCGCCTGCGCCCCGGCCTCCCTCCCCGCTCCTTTGCACACTGCCTGAGCCTCGCGCTGGCTGGCGAGGCCGCCCGGGGCTCGGCACGGAGGCACCCTGGGTCGGGGTTCGAATGTCTTCATACAAGGAGTCCTGTGGGAGATCTTTTTCATTTGCGAAATTATATGATATTTATTGATTGTGTCTACTGCCAACCTTTATATCTAGTTCTAAGATTTCTGAAAGACGTCCTTGTTCCTTGCTGCTCAGAAAAAGTTTACTGAAAACACCAGTTCACTGAAAGCCCAGAAACAGGCCCCGTCTGTCTCTGCTAAGTAACGTTTACGCGCTCGGAGGGGCTGCCTCTGCCTGTGCAGCAAGGACCACGGGGCACTTGTGGCTGGTGCTGGCCAGCGCGGCGCCCCTGCTGGCACCTCAGGGGCCTGTGGCGGTCTGTTCACCTTAATAAAGACAGTTTGGTACTGGAGCCGTCACTGCGCGTGCTTCTGGGCCGCCGGCTGCCCCACTCTGCTTCGCAGGGCGCTGGGGCCTGTGGTCAGTAACCTAAAGAAGCAGCAACGTGGTCATCCCCAGCTGTTCCCGTGGGCTCTTCCCCTGTGGTCCCTGGGTGCCCGGTGCTCCTCTGAAGTGGACCCCAAACCGCCGGGCTCGCGCACCACGGTAGTGCTCGTGCGGCGGGCTGGCTGCGGAAGCGCCTGTGGCCTCCGTTTCATTTGCACACACTGTTCTGGGAGTGTTACTTGAATCTGTCCTGAACTGCAGAGAACGTGAGTAATGGAGTCAGTCACTTGTGACAGTTCCGTCATCCTGCTAAGTGCAGCCCGCCGAGCGCTTGCAGGAGGAGGGGGCTGTGCCTGTCTGGCCTGTCCTGCTGGAGGAAGTGCAGTCTCAGCGCTGTGTCCCTGTGCCCGCACTGGGTGGCTGTGCCGTGCCACACCCACTTCCAGGCTGCGTGGTCTCTGGTGCTGAGCTAAAGGCCGCGAGGCTCCATTTCTCCTGGTTGCGCAGACATCACCGTGGCTACGTGGGCAGGAAGTCCCCTGTGTGCCCTGATGTCACCTGCCCCTGTGGCAGCCTGAGGGGCTCGAGGTAGCCTGGTGCTGGGCCCCATGCACACACAGCGCTCGAGGCTGTGTCCTGCTGCGTTTGGCGTCTGCGGCCTCCGGAGCCCTTGCCACAGCAGCCACGCCGGGCTCCTGTAGGCCTTGCTTCTTGTGGCTGTGGCGGGTGCTGGCCTGGCCTGCCCCATGTGTCTGGGCTAGGCAGTATCCAGACTGTGTCACCTGCGGCCTAGGGCCATGTTCCCTGCCCCAACCCCCTCCCCATTGTTGAGGTCCTGGGGATGAACCTCAGGCCTGGTGCATGCCAAGCAGGCGCTCCACCAGTGAGCTGCACCCAGCCCTTTTATTTTGAGATAGGGTCTTGCTGAGTTGCCCGGCCCGGCCTCTGACGTGGGGCCCTCCTGCCTCAGCCTCCTTGGTCGCTGGGCTTGCAGGCTTGCTCACCGCGCCCCCACGGTGTGTCCTCTGGCCTGCCCCTCACAGGGGCCTGTGGTGCGGTCTCCAGTGGGGCTGCAGGCCCGAGCTCTGTCCCTCACTCAGGCACTGCTGCAAGGTGAGCCCCACTCTGGTCACTGCTAGGTGATGATTTTATCCCTAAAATTGTAATTGTAATTTGGAGGAAAAAGTATTTATTGAAATAAAATTTTCTGTTAAATAATTAACTTGGGTAACCTTTCACAGATTCTGATTTATTTTGTGAAATGGGTTTGACCCGTGAGCAGGGAGAGTGGATGCCTGAAGGCCGTCTCACCTCACTGTGGCCTCTGTCCACATGTGCTAGCCAGCATGAGGGACACCAGCCGGCCGGCCGTGCAGGGCCTGGGCCACACACCCCAGCGCCCCTCCTGGGCACCGGGCAGTGCACACCGCTTTGCTGTTGCTCTCGGGCTAGGCCGTGCACGGGAGACCTCGGGAGCGGACGGGCCTGGATGAAGCCCCCGGGCGCCCGAAGGTCTCCGTCCTGCCTGTCCCCGCACCCGTGCTTTGGGAGGCAGCGCTGCACAGCGGGCACGGAGGCATGGGGGGGTGGCGCCCAGCAGGGTTGGGCTGCCAAGTTGCACGTGCCACTTGTGTCAGCAGGGCATCCTAAGACTCGGTGAGGCCAGCAGTGTGGTGGAAACCACATCTGTGGGATGGAAAGGGTGGCCCTGGGCCTGCTGAGTGCAGTTCTGTGCTGGGGGCAGGGTGCGCCGAGAGCCCACGCCAGGGCTCAGAGGTCTGGCAGAGCATGCCCAGGCCTGCCACGCTTGCCAGGCCACGGCGTTGAAGTTGACCAGGTCCCAGGTGACCGGGCTGCCCTCCTTAGCCAGAGTGATGTTGTCCCTGGCTGGAGCGCGGAGAGGAAGATGGAGGCAGTGTGCCGCCCCTTGTCCCAGAGGAGTAGGCGTGCCTTCAGAGGTGCGGGGACAGCCTGGGCGCCGTGGAAACAGCACAGAGCTGAGGGTGTTGGGCTCCGAGGGGTGGCTTTCAGTCACAGTGATACAGCACTCATGTCCCATTTTTGAGAAATGACTTGGGTTTTGTCCCTTGGGTTTTGGTTGCAGGACAGCCTGGCTATGGCGAGCAGAAGTGACCACACTACGGAGGCTCAGGGCAACCTCACAGCGCCATTCCGAACCCCCCGCCCAGCCTGTGTTCATCCCCAGAGCCCCGCCAGTCTTTGCTTCTACTTTTGTTAGCTCGGCTGAGTCCCGTAAGCTGCGAGTTGTGTTAGACTTGAGTTAGCTGTGTTAGCTTTGCTTCTAAGTTACGTTACTGCCAGCGAACAGGGCGGGGTGCAGCTCAGTGGAGGCGCTTGCCTTCCGTGTGGGGCCTCGGGCTCTGCTCACAGCGTGCATCCAACGAAACACACCCACCGGGGCCCTGGACCCCAGCAAGGCACGGCTGTGGGTCTGAGGTGCACGAACTCCCCCGATGGCAGCATGGGCGTTGGGGTGGGGTGTCTGCAACCCAGCAACACCCTGTGGGAGCGCAGTCACTGGAGAGGAGCCAGCAGAGCCCGGGGCCGCAGGCCGCTCGCCCTGGCCACCCCAGCCCGTCTCTAAAGCGAATGCTACTTCGTTGTTTTCCTTGCCCTGAACTAGCGCAGAATCCATTGGATAAAAAACCCCTGCTTCCCAGATCTGTAGGGTTTGTTTATTTTCACTTTTAGCAAATGACATCAATCAGAAGGGGGGAGCGTCAGAAGTGTGTTGGTGAGCACACACGGCCAGCTCCCTGCCCCTCCCCACGCGCTGGGAAGATGCGCCCAGCCATTCCTCTCTAGATGTCCGGGTGTGGCCAGTGCTTTGCGGCACACTGGGTGGGTGCTGAGGCCACGGGACCGGCGAGGATGAGGAGCCTCAAATGGGGACAGCAAATGTGGTGGAAACCAAGACCTGTTCATTGGAGGGGCACTGCTGGTTGGCTGTGGCAGCCCAGGGCATGGTCCCGGCACTCTAGCACTGTGGCAGGGATTCTGAGCTGCAGCGGGGCCCAGACCACACCTCAGGGCCACCGCTGGGCCGCTTCACCTGCAGACTCAGAGGTCCAGGGCCACTGCAGCTGCCAGGTGTGGGCTGTTGTATTTCCTGGTGTCCTTGTGTCCTTGGCGTGCTTTAGTTGGGCTGCTTTGTGCACGTGGGTTTCCACCTGGGCTCCCAGGAGCCCGGGGCGTCCGAGCAGCACCACCCCTTCCTGCGTGAGCACAGATGTGCTGGGGGCTTGAGTGCAGCACTCATTTCTTAGTGCTTTTGTTCCTCATTCTCTTTGCAAACATAGTATTTCCTGTCAGTTTACAAAAGCTATTTACAGTTCCACCACAGCAACCAACGATGGACAGTAGCCATGGCCCTCCGCTATCCTATGGCTGTGGGCCTCTACAAGGGCCACAAGGTGACTAAGTGTGAGCAAACCTAGGCACAGTCACCATCGCCTGACCACATACACCACGTTTGTGCGGGACATGATCGGGAGGTGTGTGGCCTCACCCCCTCCAAGCATCGCACCATGGAGCTGCTCAGCGTCTCTGAGCACAAGCGCACCCTCAAGTTCATCAGAAGGGTGGGGTGCACATCCTCGCCAAGAGGAAGGCGAGGAGCTGAGCAACGTGCTGGCCGCAATGAGGAAGGCAGCTGCCAAGGACTGAGCCCCTCTGGAATACAGCTTTGCAGAGAAAAAGAGCTGCTTACAAAGGGTCGGCCAGATAGTTCAGCAGATTAAAGCACCTGCTTAGGCAGAGGGGATTCGGTCCCTGGCCTGCCGTGCCACCCCGCCTCCTGGGTGCGCTGAGATGGCAACTGAGACTGGGTGTGGTGGCAAGCGCTTGGGGGGCTGAAAAACAGGAAGGATCACTACGAGTCTGATCTGTAGCAAGACCCTGTAGACCCTGCACTAAATACATTTCTTAAAAACTATTTGCAAAGCGTTTCTACCATTGCTTTTAACTATATTAAGCACATCGACATATCTAGAACTATATTTTTCATTTAAGAACTTGCCTATTATATAGCACTGATAAATAAAATAGTACATGTAGCAATGGTTGTAATTTGACAAATCTATTTTTTTTTTCTTTTTTTTCGTCTTTTTGAGACATGGTCTGGCTATGCAGCTCAGGCTGGCCTTGAACTCACTTTGTAGCCCAGGCTGATCTCAAATCTCAACAATCCTCCTGCCTTAGCCTCCCAAGTGTTGGAATGTGTTACCATGCCCAGCGTTTTTTGTTGTTTGTGTATTTAATGTATTTGTGTACAGGGTCTCACTACGAAGCTCAGACTCCTGGTGATCCTCCTGTCTCAGCCTCCCCAGTGCTGGGATCCCAGGCATGTGCCACCACGCCTGGTGAGCTGCCCAGTGGTAGGACTGGCAGTGTGGCGCCTGTGCTTAGTCCACTGTTGTTTTTCTGTGGCTTCACGGTGCAGTTTAGGCTGGCCTTGAACTCACCAGGGAGCCCAGGCCGGACTTAAACTCGAGGTGACCTCCTGTCTGGGCCTCCTGAGTGCCGGGGTTACGGGCGTGTGCCCCACCCCTGGCTGAGGTGTCTGAATGTGATCATTTTAGCCTCACTTCCTTCTCTCTGCCTTCACCCCTGTGGACAGGCACAGGTGCGTGAGTGTTGGAGAGAGAGGCTGAGTCC